ATGCAAATAAGTTATGCTAATAGGTTATGCTAATGAGCTCCTGTACCTCTTTTTCTACAAAATGACCCCTGACTCCCTCTGATTATTGCTGGGCTGAGGAGAGGAAGAAAGTGGCTAAGCGTGGCTGCTGGAAGCATGGTAGAGATGAAGGCTTTAGATTTTTAAAAGCTTTCATTTATAATCTGCTCCTAATGAGTCTGTCTTTTCCCTGCCTTCCTTCCTTCCTCTCTCTGGATGTAATCAGACTTTGCCACCTCTGGAGCCCGTCTTGGAGGCAAAAGTGGGAGGAGACTCCACATGCCTGCCTGTGCCACCTTTGCACCTTGCTGGAAAAGCATAAGAGGTGGCCCAGTTAGGGCAGCCAAATTTATTTATTTATTTACCTCATTCATACACCACCTTTCTCACTGAGACTCAAAGCAGATTGCAAAATTTAACTATGCAATAAATACATCATGATACACATAGTGACCATGCTATAAAGCTGGCCCTACCAACTCTCTGCGAAACTGTCTGGAGAGTGTAATGCAAAGTATCCGTTCACATCACCAGACTGGCTTGTTGCGTGGATATTATCAAAATCCAGAACATATAAAGTCTACAGAAAATGTCAGCATCCCAGTCTTCTAAGTACAAAGCCATATACCAGTTTTAGACCAGGAAAAAACCTCGGTCATGAGTCTGTTCCCTCTAAGCTATGGAGTCTTGTGAGCAAACATTCTACTTTGTGAGCTACCTGCATGAAAGTTGTGAGCGAGCGATTTGGCTGCTGCATACATTAGTTTGCTCTGGAGCCATCCTTCCTGAGCCAAAGCAAAAATGTGTGAGCCAGAGGCTAAAAAATAGTGAGCTAGCTCACACTAACTCAGTTTAGCGGGAACCCTGGTCATGACTTCTATACTAAGGCTATTTTTTTCTCCCCAGAAATTTGTAAAAGGTCCTTTGTACAAATAAGTGCTGTATCTGTGATTGTTGCCACAATTAAAGTGAAACTATATGTTAATATGGAAACAGAAAGATGAATCTGATGATCCACTTCTGGTGGAAGGCGCCTTGCTGTGCTGGGGGAAGAATCAAGCCCAAATATCCCAACCATATGTTTTCCTTACAATGAAAATGTGGGGGGAATCAGCAAGCAGGAAGGGTTGCTCAGCAGGCACACGAGGGGTTAAGCACTTCTCCCTCTCACTGATTCTGCTCTAAATGCTTTTCTCTCATTACCTCAGCAAACATGGGTTCATATGCTGAGGCAATGTCTGATTATGCCATCAAGTTGCCCCCCCCCCGAGTGGGGGGTGAATATTTCACTTCTCACATGCTCACGGAAGCAAGGGCTGCTCTAGGGTGTGTAGGTGTATGTGTGTCAAGTGTACCAAGCCCTCACTTTGTCAATCCCTGCATGGTATGTGCGTTCCTCAGCTGTGCTCACCTTAGTGACCACAGAGAACTGTCTAATCACTGATTCTACTTCTTTAAGTGTCTTTTCCTTTCTTAGACTGCAGGTTACTCTGGGATTATGTCTATCAGCTCCTCTGTGACAGTCGATATGAATCATTTATCAAATGGGAAGATAAAGAAGCCAAGGTCTTTCGGGTTGTTGACCCCAATGGACTAGCCAGGCTCTGGGGAAATCACAAGGTACCCAAAAAGCAGTTCACTTTGAACTATGTTAAAACAGATCTTCCAGTTTCAGGAAAACTACTGTTATGGTCAAGCCAAATCAAGATAAAACTAGAAAACATTTCAGTGTTGTTAAAAAATTTCCTGTTTTACAGCCCAACAAAATATTTTGATGTTAATGTAACGTCTAAGTGCACTGTTTTGGGCAGGTTTCCTCTAAGACATGCAGTCTTGTGAGCAGAAATTTTACCCCGTGAACCAAAACTGGTGCTAGCTTTAAAATTATGAGTGGGCCGACATTTAAAAAAAAATTATTTCAGTTTACAAACATACAAATGTATCTGCCATAACAATAAGAGCATGTAAAAGGTAGTATAACGTACAAGTGGAGACCCACAAGAAACTTGCGGGATGGTTATCCCATTCCTCACACTTTTGCTTCCTCCCCTCTCCCCCTACCGCTCTCACCCTCTTTCTCCCGTCTGCCCCCCCCCCTCTTCCATGCATGTTACTTCCTCTCTCTTTCTGACGACACCATTCTCTTTGTTTTTCTGCCTCCCCACCTCATCACTCTTTCACTCCCTTTCTGCCCCCACCCCATCACTCTCTTTTTCTGTCCCCATCACTCTCCCAGCCTCCTCTCCCCCCACAGCAGCAGTGGCAACGCTCTGGGAATCAAGATCTCCCAGCTACAGAACCTCTGAAGCATTGCATTGGAGTCCCCGTCTTGGATGATATATTGTTGTGAGCACTGATTTTAAATGTAAAATGTAAATGTAATTGATTGTTTTATCCGGTTTTAGTGTTATGTATGGCAATTGCCTCTTGTTAGCCGCCCTGGGCCCATGTGGAAGGGCGGGATATAAGTCAAATAAACAAACAAACAAACAAACAAATAAATACAGAGATCAATTCACCTTAGGGAGATTGGGAAATTCCTGGAGCTTTGGGGGTGGAGTCCTGGAACAGTGAAGCTTGGGGAGGCAAGCAGCCTCAGCAGGGTATAATGCCATAGACTCAACCCTCCAAACCAGCCATTTTATTCAGGGGAACTGATCTCTGTCACTTGGACAACAGTTGTAATTCCGGGTAATCTCCAGCCCTCACCTGGAGGCTGGTAATGGTAGTCCTTGTGGAGAAAATGGCTAGTTTGGAGGGTGGAGTCTGTGGTACTATACCAGTCTGTAGTTCCTCCCCTCCTCAAATCCCACCCTCCCCAGGCTCCACCCCCAAATGTCCAGGAATTTCCCAACTTGGAGTCAGCAGTGCAATTTCCATCCCATCCAACAGCCAACCTACCTTTATCTGCCTCTCTATCTCCAGCTTTCCATCTCCAACCCCTCCCCACAGTGTGGACCAAAGCAGCTTACATTATTCTCTCCTCCTTTTTATCTGCACAACAACCCTGTGAGTTTGGTTAGGCTGAAAGTATGTGACTGGTCCAAAATCACCTAGTCAGCTTCCACTGCAAGATGGGGATCTGAACCTGAGTCTCACAGACCCTAATTTGAAGCTGTTACATTACATTGGCTTTCATTGGGTGGCTACTGATGAACAGTAGCAAGCAGCTGGGCCTACGTGAGTCATGCAAATCAGGTGGTATCAAGTCACACAGAGGGTGCTGCCTAGGGATGCCAGCCTCCAGGTGGGACCTGGGGATCCCCTGGAATTACTGCTCATCTCCAGACTAAAGAGATAACTTCCATGGAGAAAATGGGTGCTTTGGAGGGTGGAGTCTATGGCATTGTACCTTACTGAGGTCCGTGTCCTCCCCAGGATCCACCCCCAAATCTCCAGGAGTTTCCCGGCCTGGATCTGGCAACCTTAACCCCCCCATCTGCTGCCACGCCTAGGGTTGCTAACCTCCAAGTGGGGCCTGGAGACCCCCATCAGAATTAGAACTGAATGCTAGACAGCTCCCTGAAGAAAATGGCTGCTTTGGAGGGTGGACTCTGTGGCATTGTACCCAGCTGAGGCCTCTCCCTTCCCCAAACCCAGCCCTCCTTAAAGTCCACCACAAAATCTCTAGGAATTCCCCAGCCTGCACTGACAACCCTTGTAGGCCTGGCCCCAAGGCTCCCTCCCTGAAAGGCAAAAATAGGCCTGGAAAGGGCCCTTCCCCCTCTTCCTGCCTTTTAGTGACAGAGGCAGTTAAAAGCCCCCCCCCCAATGTTCTAATCTCTCACTGTTGATGCCTGGAGTGACTACCCCCTGCAGAGGCCATTTCAAAAGGTATTGGGGGGAATTCAACCCTCCTCAAGGTTGTTTACTTTTTGGATTTTTCTGTAGAAAAAGCTGTTGGTGGAAAGTGAGCCCTCTGGTGGCAGAAGTAAGTATCCACACTGACAACCGAGTTTGGGAAATAGTATACAGATGAAGGAAATATCTATACCAGAGTAGAACTGCCTCAACATTCTTGAAAAACACCTATCCTGTGTTTGTCCCATTTCATATACCCAATATGCAACTAGTATCAGTGCATCAGTTTTAAGTGCCTCCCATAAACTTAGCCAGTGTGGATTTAGAACCACCTGTGTGTAGTCAGTGTGGTGTAGTGGTCAGAATAATGGATGCTTTGGAGGGTGGAGTCTATGGCATTGTACCTTACTGAGGTCCCTGTCCTCCCCAGGGTCCACCCCCAAATCTCCAGGAGTTTCCCAGCCTGGATCTGGCAACCTTAACACACACACCCATCTGCTGCCAGGCCTAGGGTTGCTAACCTCCAAGTGGGGCCTGGAGACCCCCATCAGAATTAGAACTGAATGCTAGACAGCAGAGATCTGTCTCCCTGGAGAAAATGGCTGCTTTGGAGGGTGGACTCTGTGGCATTATACCCAGCTGAGGCCTCTGCCTTCCCCAAACCCAACCCTCCTTAGAGTCTACTACAACTCTAGGAATTCCCCAGCCTGCACTGACAACCCTTGTAGGCCTGGCCCCAAGGCTCCCTCCCTGAAAGGCAAAAATAGGCCTGGAAAGGGCCCTTCCCCCTCTTCCTGCCTTTTAGTGACAGAGGCAGTTAAAAGCCCCCCCCCCAATGTTCTAATCTCTCACTGTTGATGCCTGGAGTGACTACCCCCTGCAGAGGCCATTTCAAAAGGTATTGGGGGGAATTCAACCCTCCTCAAGGTTGTTTACTTTTTGGATTTTTCTGTAGAAAAAGCTGTTGGTGGAAAGTGAGCCCTCTGGTGGCAGAAATAAGTATCCACACTGAGAACCGAGTTTGGGAAATAGTATACAGATGAAGGAAATATCTATACCAGAGTAGAACTGCCTCAACATTCTTGAAAAACACCTATCCTGTATCTGTCCCATTTCATATACCCAATATGCAACTAGTATCAGTGCATCAGTTTTAAGTGCCTCCCATAAACTTAGCCAGTGTGGATTTAGAACCACCTGTGTGTAGTCAGTGTGGTGTAGTGGTCAGAATAATGGATTAGGTTCTGGGAGATCCAGGTTTGATTCTCCACTCTGCCACAGAAGCTTGCTGGGTGACCTTTGGCCAGTCACAGACACTCAGCCTAACCTGCCTCACAGGGTTTTATAAAGATAAAATGTAGGAATGGAGAACAACATAAGAAAGAAAGGGAGGTGAAAAGAAAGAAAGAAGGGAAGAGGTGGAAAGAAGGAAAAAGAGGTAGAAACAAAGAGGTGGAAAGAGGGAAGGAAAGAAAGAAAGGTGGAAAGAAGGGAGAATGGGAGAAAAAGGTGGAAAGAGAGAAAGGTGGAAAGAAAGAGCGAGAGAGGTGGAGAGAGAGATGGAAAGAGAGAAAAATGGAAAGAAAGAGGTGAAAAGACAGAGAAATGGAAATGGGAGGGCATGAAAGAACTTTTTTATCTGTGAGGAGGGGAGGCTGAGGTGAAGTAGATGGGGCATGGTGGGGGGAAATAAAGAAAAAGGAAGGAAGGAAGGAAGGAAGGAAGGAAGGAAGGAAGGAAGGAAGGAAAGAAAGAAAGAAAGAAAGAAAGAAAGAGAAAGGACGAAAGGAAGAAAAGTAAGGCTGCAAGGGTGCAGGTGGATGAGCATGCTGTCCCAAAGAGGTACTCTCCTAACCCCCTTCCCCCCTTTCCATCCAATGCAAAGCCTCCTCCAATTCCCCCTCCTCCGCAAAAATTCTCCTCCTTGGTACTGGGCTGGGAAGAGGGGGAGTAGCATAGGCTCTGGCGACTGGGCATGAGGAAGCCAACAGGGCTGGCCAGGTGGAAAGAGAAAGAGAGGTAGAAAGAAGGAGAGAGAGAAATAGGAATGGGAGGGTGTGAAAGAACTTTTTTATCTGCGAGGAGGGGAGGCTGAGATGATGGGGGTTAAGTTACATCACAGTGGGCAGAGATAAAGAAAAAAGAAGGAAAGCAAAGGAAGAAAGGAAAGTCAGGCTGCAAGGGTGCAGGCAGCTGAGTGCGTGGTCCCAAAGTGATGGTCTCCTTTCCCTCCTCCCGCTTGATGCACAGCCTCCCCCATTCTTTCCCCCCCACAAAAGCCCTCCTCCTCACCAGGTCAGGAAGAAGGAGTAGGCTCTGGTGACTGGGCATGGGGGAAGCCGATGGGGACTAGCCAGAGTGGCACACTCGGCCTCCGTCAGCCAGGCCTGCTTCCTGGGGTGTTGGGAGGAGGGAAACAACCCCATCGGGCAGACTCAGCTGGGTGGAAGGCACCCCGGCCAGGCAAGGAGGGCCTCCGGGGCCTGGCTAGCCTGGTGAGGGAGGCTGCGGCTGACTGGTCTCCAGCCTGCCTGGGCAGGTCACGTGCCAGGCAGCAGCTCATCCCTCCTTGGCCTTGCCCCCTTCTCTTTGCTTCCCAGAGCTGGAGGATCTGTCCATTGCTACCACTGAAGCAGGAGAGCCCAGCCCTGGTGAAGGGAGTGGGCTCTCCTCCCCAGGAAGCTGTGTGGGCCGCACTGGGGGCAGCATCTGGAGCCAGAGTGCTCTGGCCAGGAAGAGATGCATCTTGGCTGAGGAAAGCAGACTGGCAGCCCCTTGCCATCCCCCTTTTACCCCCCCCCGGCAAGCCCCACAGGAGTCGAACCCACACACAGCACACACCATCTGCTGCTTCTTCCCCCCTTGCCTCACAACTCCACTCTCCCATCAGCACCAAGTTGGAGTGCACGTCTCTTTTTTCCTTACCTTGTGACCAAATGGAGGCTCATGCGGTGGCAGAGAAAGCAGCATTTTCAGGACAGCAGGCAGCGGTTCATGCCTGCCTGCTTCTCCCTGGTTTCCTGGGGGCGCTTTGCATGAGGGAAGATAGCGCACAGCTCGCCCCAAGGAGGGCAGGCTGGGCAGACTCTTTGCCACTTGGCTGGCTGCTGAAGGGACCGGCCTCAAGGATGTATGTGGGTGGGCGAGTGGCAGCAGCTGGCTAGCTGGCAAGGTGAGCTGCCAGGCTCTCTGGATCTGGCATTGCGGTGTGCGGCTCTTTGGAGAGGTTCCATCAGGAGCCACCAGATGAATCGTGGACATGCTTCCTCTGCCAAATTTGTTGGTCTTAAAGGTGCCACTGGACTCAAACTTTGTTCTCCACCTGAGAACGGTGGGACAGAGAGGGCTGATGGGAGGAACCTCCAATGAAACTACAGGAAGGGAAGGATGCTGGAAGCTTTGCCTTCAGGCAAAAGAGAGGCTGAGAACAGAGGCTCTGTAACTGACATGCACCTCTGGAATTTTGTCCCCCTGCGCTGAGATAAAAATCTCTGTGCTGGGGGCTAAGAATCCGTGCACCAGCTCATGGTAGCACAGCTTACAGGGAACACTGGTTTGCGCATGTACTTTCCCACAAAAAAATGTTGTTGCTCATACTAAATTCAGATGAAATTACTGGCAAGTTTTCCACTTCCTTGTTTCTTCAAGTGAATGTATCTTTTTAAAATGCATAAACTGTAATTCAGTCAATGGAAGCAATAGTTTATCATACATTTAAAACCAAGCATCTGCTCTAATTTATGAAGTCTGAAATTGAAGTTTTCAGACCATTCTCATTTGGTCCAGAAGCCAATGAACTGCTGTTCTGTAGTCAGCGCCCATTGTTCATTGATAGCATCTAAATGTTAGCTTCAAATTATAGTCTATGAAAAGCAACAGTTAGAACTACAGTAATTATCTTTTGAATTTGCAGAACCATATGAACATAGTTTTAATGTTTTATTTCTTTCAAAAAAAAATCAGAAAAAAGAACAAGGGGGAAAACTCAACATCCAGTAACTAATTAAAGAAGAGGAAAACACACACACACATATAAAGTAGAAAAAAATATAACAGCATTGGCAGATTTACACATAAGTTTCTCTAAATGATCACCAAATATCTAAAAACAAGTTCATGCACAGTTGTTGTCCATTGGCCATGTGTTCAGATATTGATAAAGTTCTAAGAACCTCAGTGTACTGAATTAGAGGAGGTGGGCAATATCTCCCCAATATTGTAATACAAGTCTTTTAGCTGCAGTAAGGGCACAGAGGGTCCATTTTCATTGACCATCAGTTAGCTTCAAAGTGACAGGCAGATAGTTTAAAAGTACATAAACATCCTCAATAACCAATGAACATTCTTTACAGAATTGATATGAGTAATAACCAATAAAGAATAATTTTAAATTCCAAAGAGTTAAATACAAAGCTATGAGTATTATTATTTTGTCTGTTGGCACAAGCCAGAGGTTCTAGACAGGGGAAAGAGGACAGCCTTGTCTAGTACCCCTCTCAAGAGAGAATGACGTGGAAAATATCCCATTAAGAGAGAATGACGTGGAAAATATGCCATTAGTCAACACCCTGGATCTGGAAGATAAATAGAGACTTCTAATCCATTGAGTCAACACCCTGGATCTGGGAGATAAATAGAGACTTCTAATCCATTTTAAAAATTCATGAGGAAATGTCCTTTGTATTTTATTCTTTGACAGAACCGTATGAACATGACATATGAGAAGATGTCAAGAGCTCTGAGACATTACTATAAACTCAACATAATAAAAAAGGAACCAGGACAGAAACTTTTATTCAGGTGAGGCAAAAAGGTGAGATCAGGGAGATACTGATAGGGAAGAGCATGTTGGCAGAACAAGTGGGGACTCTCAGATAGGGATGGAGGAGGAGTCTCGGCTGTGGGAACACACTCACCTGCAGCCACGTGAAGCTCCAGGAGCAGTAGACAATAGTGCCAGTTACATGCCAGCCCCACACTTGCTCTAGAAACACAGCAAATGCAAGCTGGTTGAATCAGAGGCCCTTCCTTGGAGAAAACAACAAGGAACAATGGTCAGGAGCAATGCTCCCTCTAAGATGTGGAGTCTTGTGAGTAAAAATTCTACTTTGTGAGCTACTGGCATTAAAATTGTGAGTGAGCGATTTGGCTTCTGCATAAATTAGTCTGCTCTGGAGCCATCCTTTCTGAGCTAAGACAAAAATCTGTGAACCAGTGGCTAAAAAACTGTGTGCTAGCTCACACTAACTCAGTTTAGAGGGAACACTGGTTGGGAGTTGGCATCCGAAGCAGCTAGTCAGATGGTTTGGGGAGAGTTGAGCCAAAACCTTCGTCCCCTTAAGTATGTGCATGGGTGAACCTTTAGTAGATGTGTGAGCCTCCTAACACCTTAAATTATGACTTGGATTAAAAGTGTCGTGGAATTAGGGCCTGGATTAAGCCTCAGTCCTCCGCAGAAGGACTTTAATTTCTACAGAAAATTAGCCTCTATAGTTGTATCTTTGGTTCTGTTTCGCAGGAGGCTTCAGGACTCCGCTGGTACCAATAACCCTGTACATATGTCTTGCCTTAGAGCAGGGTGTTATGAGGGCCAGATCTGACATAAATGAGACCCTGTTGGGCCGGGCCATATGTGTCATAATATGTAATGCCAGGTAGCGGAGATATAAACTTTATAAAGGACACAAACACAAAGGTTTTTTTTTAACTTAAAATAAAAACATGTTTAAAACATTAGCACTCTTGCAATATTTTATTTAACAGTGTCTGATAACTGACACCTCTTGCTCTGAATTATTGCATGAAAATGTCTGTGCTGTTGCAATCTTGAGTGTGCTGTTCAGGTGTGTATCTGTAAGCCGCAAACCTACGATGACGCAGCAACAGCAGAACTGGAAGAAGAAGCAGAAGACAGCCAGTTCCACTGTGGGCCTGATAGAAGCCCTCCAGGGGCCTGATCCAGCCCCCGGGCCATATGTTTGACACCCCTGCCTTAGAGGATATCTGTACATTCCAGGAGTTAGTGGTGCCACTGTCAAAGTTTAATTAGATGGGTTATATTGTGATCTGCCTTGTGTTTCAGCAAGAAAGGCAGGCTATAAATAAAGTGAAGAAATCAGATGCTTAAATAGTGTATGGATTTTCTCTACGGATCCAGGAGGATTCAGGATATATTCCCTTATCACATCCCAGGCACCTAACTCTATGATATCAAAAGATTCAGATATTCTTTGTTTTCTTCAGAGATCTACAATTTAAATTTTTTCAGAACAACTGGGCTGAAATAAACTGTTTCAGTTTGTGTTTATATTCAGTTAAGGCACCAGGTCTGAAATATGTTAAGTATTCACAATTCAGAGAGAACTGGTGTCTTATTCCAATGCTGAATTTGGCTACCATGTTGGGATAAACAGTGAGAGGCAGTTTTGACTTGGCAAACAGAACTATTTGTTCTGCAAACACAAAACCAGATTTATTTTTCAGGTGTTCCCAATCTTCAGCATTGTGATAAGTCTGGTTCTGGTGCTCTCAGATTTTCTCTTTACTGCTTACAGATTCTGTTGCCAAACCAGGGACTAGGAATAGAGTTTAAATATTAATAAATAAAATAAATACAGAATATATTTTACTAGTGTGGCCCCCACCTAGCATCTGAACTTTTTACTTAAGTGGTCATTAGCTGTTCCCATTCAGTACTCTGCATTGCAGAATTAAGTATTTGTATATTCTCACCAGTGAAAATATTATTTCAGACTATGCCAGCATTGGATCATGAAAACAGATCACTCCAGAAGCTCATTATGCCAATTTTTGTTTATTTCCAGATTTCTGAAAATTCCTGGAGAGATGAAATCTGACAAGTCCAATAAATTTGACCAGCTGGACAGTGAAGAGCAGGAAAGGGAGGACTGGAAAGAAGAGGGGTTGGAAATCTCACCCTAGCCATGCCGAGCCACAGTTGGTACCAGGAGGTTGTGTGTCGTGCAGTGAAAAGGCTTGAAATGACAAAGTGAAGTAAAAGATGTCTCAGGGTTTGTCTCTGTTGTAATGCATCCATAGCTCAAATGGATAGTAGTGGTCAGAGGGTTTTCGTTGCCTTCTTTGCTGACCAGCTGCTTTGAAAGTGCTCCTAAATTGCGAGTTCATGTTTACACATAAGTAGGGTATTTTGGTCCAAAAAGGCTGTCCCTAGAATCAGCTCCACATTCATACCTTGTGTTCGGGGAGTTTACACATCTCAAAGACCAGTCTTGATTTTAAAAATAATTTTTAAAAAGTCACAGCAAGTTGTACAATTATACAGCCACTCCCACAGACAGCTGCAAACTTTTGTGCCCAGCTGTAATGAACAAAGGCAGCATCAGGACTGGAATGAAAAGACACAGGATGGTCAATGTAAGCAATTGCAAAAGCCACCTATGTGCATTAATTAGGCAGTCAATCTCCACAGTGTTGTGATGTCTGGTTAGTATGGCACACTTTGCTCAATAATAGAAGCAAGATACTGTGCAGTAAAAATAAATCTCCTAAGAAGTATATTGCAAAAGTAGAACTTGCACTTATTTAAGTACATGGCATTCAGGCTGCAGTCAAAAGGAGAGAGAGAAGCCTAATCTCAAGAGTACTTTCCTTATCACAAGTGGCCAGATAACCCAGCATCATGGGATAACCGCCGGTGGCGGTTAGCTGGCGAACGGAAGGTCCAGCGTGTGAGAGCGAAAAGCCTAGAAAGAACTCTTCGGCATCAAGAAAAGCCTGTAATGGGCTGTCCGGCCAGGCGGTGGCAGTGCTGTGCTGCACCTGAAGCAGTCCTGGAGAAAGCTGACGACATCAAGCCACGCCGAGGGAAAAATGCCGTTGGAACATGTCTGACCTTACTGCTGAAAAAACTCCCCGTTGGATGCGAACGTGTGTGATTTAAAGATTTATATGTTGTCCTCCCTTACCTCTTTGAATCATTGTTAGTCCCGTGTGTATTTGAGTAACTGTAAATCACTCAGAGCCAGCAGCTCTGCAGGATTGAGCGATTAATAAATTGAAAGATGATGATGATGATTATTATTATTATGTGTGTGGAAGTATGAGGGCATTTTTCTACATGAGAGACTTGTAGAAATGTGTGGCTTCATGAAGAGCCATGTGGAGAATGGGACAGAACAAAGCATACAAAAAAGTGGAGGGATCAGAGGGCAGCTTCCAGTTTATACCAAAGAGAGAGACATCCCATTCAAGAAGATAAAACTTACACACACTTAGAGTGATATAGCACCCCCAATGTCCAGGCATGCTGAGTTGGTTATTCCAATAGTCACATTTTGTCATCATTTTAGTAGGAAGACTTGCATCTCAAAAGCAGTACAGCCTGCTGCTCCAACTACTCAGCTCTGGACTTTGTGAATGAGTGAAGTGAGCGTGTACTTGTGCCTGCATACTCTCAGTCTGTGTTTGGGAATCAGGAAAAAATTGCTTACCCAGACATGTAATTCAGAAGCAACAAGAAACAGCATGGAAGTTATCCAATTCGATTGGCATTATAATATCCACATTCCAAATTGAACAAGATGGGGTAGCTGTGTTAGTCTGTCTGTAGCAGTAGAAAAGAGTAAGAGCGCAGTAGCACCTTAAAGACTAACAACATTTGTGGTACGGTATGAGCTTTCATGAGTTGCTGGTCACTTCTTCAGAAACCTGGGAAGACCTGAAGTGAGCAGTGACTCACGAAAGCTCATACCCTACCACAAATGTTGTTAAGTCTTTAAGGTGCTACTGCACTCTTACTCTTTTCTACACATTCCCAATTGTTTCTAAAAATACTTTTTAAAAACTTCCAACTGAACCCTAGTTGCTGTGCAGCAAAGATGTTGATGGGGCTCAGCACCTCTTGGGGCAATTCTGTGCAAAAAAAAATATGGTGCACCAAAACTGTGACTCTTGCCACTCTTTTAACCCCACCCTCAATATCCTTGGAACAGGAATATTAGGAAAGTGGACAGTCACCTCAAAACACACAGAACTCACAAAAGCACCTAAAATGAAGCCTGTGTGCTGAATGGGGTGCAGTTTTTCTTCTCTCCAGGGATGGGAGGGAACAGGAGTGCCAGTGATGATGAATGGCAGCTCCAGCTCCTGAGGCTCCTCCTGTGAGCCAGTGATGGTTTAGGCTGCAGGCTGCAGAGAAAGAACTCTTGCCTCCTGAGGCCTTCCTTGGGGAATTGGCGTTGAAGTGTTTGTCTCTGTGTCAGTGCCTTGCCAGGTCTGGCTGGCTGCCTTGGTACAGGCTTGCCTGCTTGATTTGGCTTGGATCCTCTGGTTTAACATGGGTAGTGCTGGGCTTGCTATATTGAACTGTAGTTCTGTTGGGATCCTCTGGCTGGATGATGGTTCTGTGTGCATTTGGAGGCTTTTGGCTAGTGGTTGCTCTTGTGGGTTCTTTCCCCTGAAGAAAGCACATGTGCAGAAAATGTACAAACTTTCCTTTTATTCAACAGCAGTCAGGTTCCTTGAAGGTCTCTCATCCAAATACTAGCCAGGGCTGGCCCTGCTTAGCTTCCAAGATCTATCCAGGTCAGGGCTCAAGACAGATCTTTCAACAAGCTTGAAAAGTGCCCCAGGTTCGCAGAAAAATAAACTCTAAAAAAACAAAATATTGGAGGAAAGCTTCATAAAATTCCAAAATGATAAATGGAGTGCCTGTAGTTTCAAAAATGGATGCGCTCAGTGGCCACGGCAGGGTTGTCAGTAAAAGGAATTGGGAGGAGACAGGGCCCTGTTTGGGAGTATTTCAGCTTTTGAAGTACTGGGGCCAGGCCTGGCAGAAACCACTGGGCCACATGATACCACACAACTTGCATGCCTCACCTAGGTCTGGCTACTTGCTAATGTTCAGCAACAGCTACCCCATGAAAGCTAGTGTGGTGTAGTGGAATGTCCAACTAAACCTCGAACTGCCATTCTGCTCTGGAAATTCTGAGTGATCTTGGAAGTTACACATTCTCAGCCTATATTAACATAGGCAGGGCCAGGTTTGACCACTAAGAGCACCTGAACACCTCCTGGTGTGCCAGTGTCCCCCCCTCCACCTGGGCCAGCCTGCCCTCTAACCAAAGGGCTGAGTCCGACCCACCCCAAGCCCTGCACATGGCAGGAGAGGTGGCATCTAACCAGCCAGAAGACAGAGCCTAGCTCATCAGAGATGAGATGGGGGGGGGAGAGTGGTGCCTGGCTTGGCCCACAGGAAGTGAGGCTTGGCGGAGTCAGCTGGACCCTATATAGGGATGCCAGCCTCCAGGTGGTGGCTGGATATCGCCCGGAATTACAGTTGGTCTCAGTTACAGAGATCAGTTCCTCAGGAGAACATAACCGCTTTGGAAGGTTGACTCTGTGGCATTATATCCCTCTAAGGTCCCTCCTCTCCCCAAACCATGCCTTCCCCCGGCTCCACCCCCAAAATCTCCATGAATTTCCCAACTTAGAGCTGGCAACCCTAGCCCTGTGTGAGGTGAAGGAAGTGCCAAGCAAACTCTCCAGGTTTGCATCAAAGTCTGAGAACACTGAAAAATTTTCATTCGGGTTTAAATCCCCCCAAAGCATTATCTGTGCACGTGCAGACAATGCACTCACCTTCGCTGTCAGTGCCTGGGAGCTATGGTGGCAGCAGAAGCTGGGAGCCATGCCGTGCTCAGGGGTAGAGGCTGGCTGGGACCAGTGGCAATGTTTGGGAGGGAGGGGAAGCCACAACCACAGTTAAACTGGGGTTGGGCGGGATGGTGAGGTAGACATTTCCACCAAGGTTGGGTTGGGTGGACTTGGGAGGGAGTCCCCCTCATGATTCTCAAAGGCCCCACTTGTTTTACTAAACAGTGCTACCTGATATAAAGCAGGTGATTTGCTTGAAGCTCAGTCGTCTAAACTCAAAGCTGTGTGCACTCTTTCAGTAACACATACTGATCCAATAAAAGGATACTGTGCATCTTTTTCCATTTGAACTAACTCCATGAGAATATTTAAAAACAGAACTTTCCATTAGATAAAAATACTGTACAAAGCAACACCACAGTGTTTGTATCAGAGTAAGCTGCAGTGTGGATAAGTCTACATTTAAGACCAAATCTTTCCAACTTTGAAATCTAAGAATCCTTTTTACAAACTTTAAAATCCATCTATATTTTATGGTTTGTGGGATGAAGAATCACAAAGGCAAGAACAGGTCATGATCTATAAAATGGATATCTCCCCATCTATCCTTCACAAGTCAGAAACATGATGAATGGTAAGGTAATTTACTAGGCTCCCATAAACATTAGATGCTATATCAAACAAGTATAGATATTGCAATTCTCAGTCAATACCTTTAATAGATCTCTATGCTTTAAAGGGCAGAAAAAGGGAGAAATTAATAGCACTTTACTCCTATGATCAGAACAGCAGCTCAGAAAATGAACAATAAAGCTAAATGAATTAGTCACATTGACATTCCATCCTTATACTAATAGCCAAGTTGCCCCCTCCGTGCGGATACTTAAATCAGCACGGAGGGAGCAGCTAGGGGGCCAGGGGAGGTTTGTGCACACGTGGGCCAGTCCCCACGTGTGCACAAAAATAAAAAAAGTTAAAAAAAATTCGGGGGGATGTTAAAATCGCCGCCGTCGCCTCCTCCTCCCCGGAGCCGGCAGGCCGGCCGGGTAGGGAGGGAGGGGAAGAGAGGCCCCGCTGCCTCCTCCTCCTCCCCCTCCTCCTCTTTCTCGGAGCCGCCAGCAGGCAGGCCAGCCGGGCGGGGGAAGACCGGCCTCGCCGCTGCCGCCTCGGGGAGATCGAGGGGTGGAGGAGACGGGGCTCTTCTCCCCCCCCGCGAGTATCGCGGGTCCCCCTCTTGTATCAGAGAATTCTGCAACACAGCCCTTGTTGGACTGTATCACTCCAGACTTGGTGGGTTTTTCATATTTCAGGTCTTTTCCCACACAAAATCTCCCTGCTCACAGAATCCTTGTCCTTGATATGACAGTTTTCTTATATGTGGATTTTTTTTAACTTGGGGAGCAGACATGCAACCCCCTCCCCAGTCTGAAGTGGTGTAGTTCAGGAAGATTTTCACCATGAGATGCAGCTGATCATAGCTTGACTGGAAAATTCCATCACACAGCATGGAAAGAGAATTGCTTGTTTTATTTAAAATATTCAGCCTTTCCCCAAACAGGCTTAAGACAGCTTACAGCAAACATGCACTTCAACATCATGGACAATTAAAACCCCTCACAGACTATACACACAACTCACATGAAAGGGCCCGGGGGGGGGGGGAATAGTCTTGTGCTTTGTTTGAAAAATCAATATGGGGACCTTCCATACCTCTTCTGGCAATCCATTTAACATTCCATGCTTAAAAGTGAGAAAAGCCTGAACTCAGGGTACAGAAGATGACCTCAGTTTGGGTTTTCATAGATCATTACCAAGTGAACAGCAACAATTAGATCAAAAGCCAATGGCATATTTTATAAATGTTTTATTGGTTGGATAGTGTACACAGTACTTACAGTTGTATCTATTAAAGACAAAATACACTTCAAAATGCAGCATAAAAAATTATAAACTTTTGAACTATATACAAACTTTGCCTTACATTACACAAATATCAAGGCCTCCCATTCACAACCCCCCAAATTAATTTTTTTACATGCAAAACATTGAAAAAGTTTAGCATCACTTGGGGGCTGCTACTCCACCCCACAAATATCAACCCTCTTTAAAGTGGGCTCAATATTTCAATTTTTTTTTTTACTTCAAAAGAATTTATACTCTCCCCAAACTTACTACAGCTTTATTCCTCCTCCAATTAAATATTTCATGGTCTGATTCTTCACTTCCAATCAGTTTGCTCTTGGCATTGTTTCTGCTTTAGTTTTTATTTGGAACAGAAGATTTTGCAACATGTTGCAGTACAAAACTCTCAATATTAACAACTATTCTGAAGGAAGGTTGACCTACACACATGAAGTCTAAAGCACTGGTATAATAGATGCTATCAGGACTGTACACCATTACAGAAAACCCTAACTAGAAATTTTCTACAGATCAAAAATTAAAGAGGTGTCTATGCATAATCTACACATAGATATCACACAGACTGACTTTGTTGCTGAATGCGGGGAAGGGTAATGATGGCTAAGACTTTTTGTAACTGCAAATATCTTATTTTACAAATACACAAAAAATTAGGAGAACCTTGATTCCCTTCCCAATTTGCAGAGACAATCGGATAGACAAGAGGAGGCAATGGAAAAGCAACAGTAATCCAGACTATAAAGTATACCCCCTTCCACGGCCACCACTATCTCAGAACGTACCAATGCTCTTATATTTACAGCAATGCTGAAGAACAATCATTCCAAACAATGCACTCATTCCTTCACTAGAACAGTTAACTTAATTCCCAAATTCGATATTATTGTGAAAACCAGCAAACAGAAATGGTAGTCAAGTGCTGTAGCCAGCTAAAAAATGCCATGGTGGAAGCCCAAGACACATTGAGAACCAATAATGAAAAGGAATTAACAGAAAGAGATTTAAAACAAACAAAACTGTCCATAAACATGCAACCTGCATGCAGGCTTAAAGATGGACAGGAGCATGAAATAAGATTTGTCTCCAAAAACAAGCAAGGGCATCAAGTTGCTACCATAACCACACTGCTCAACCTCTACTCCACATGCAAAATGTTATCTGGTATTGTCCTCCTGTTGTGTTAGAAAGCAAATACCAGTTGTTCCAAGGCTTGACCAGGGAAAAGCTCATCATTAAGAAATGAAACTGAAGCTTCAATAAACTGGGGCTGAAGGAATGTCAGTTCTTGTCTGCAGTTTTCATTGGCTGCAGATCACAGTTAGGTGGCCTGAAAAACACTAATTCAAGTGAATTAGGGGTAATCTTTATTGGTTTACTGGTATCATTCACAAGTCCTTGCCTCTAAATTCTATTTTCTATTTTAAGCAATGAAAATGAGGGTGCCTTCTTCTACATTTAGACCAATGTCTACTTTGTATCACTTGACCTTCCAGTGCCACACAGCCTTCCTATAAAATTCAGTAGTCAATGATCAGATCCTTCTTCCCTCTGCATCTCACCTGCTTTGCAACTGCTTTCACTTCACACTTCACCTCTCATCTTTCTGTCATGGCCTGACTCCAGTTCTATGCCACTGTCTATCCTGGGTAGGGCTGCCAAGTCCCCCCGGGGGGCAGGGAAACCCCCGCCCGGGAGGCCCGCTCCCTGGCGCCGTTGGATCGGGCCCTGGGGGGAACCCCACCCCCAAAGCACGTCACAGGGAAGTGACGTAAGCACGTTGGGGGTGGGGCCACAATCATCCGAGGGAAAACTCTATGGTTTTCCCTCGGATGATTGTGGCCCCGCCCCCAATGTGCTTACGTAATTTCCCTGTGATGTGCCTACGGTGCGCGCGCGCGAATACTCCCAGAGCGAGCCTGGAGTCCCCTGCTCCGGGACAGGTAAGGACTTGGCAACCCTAATCCTGGGGAGCAACACAGGTTTAACTTATCACTGTAAATACATAAGCACTAAATACAGCGCCAGATGAACCACAAAACACTAAGTAGGTAATGATAAAGGGAGAAGTTGTGTGGTGGTGATGGGAGGAGCAGTTGCATGATGCTTGCCAGAAAGGATCTCAGTCTATCTCCAAAAACTGAACTATGCACTGTGAAAACAAACAGTATTCTCATGCCCCTTAACATAACACCAGGCAGTTACAACCTGTCCAGAGCAGCCATTAAAAACAAAAATCAAAAGAAATCCATCATAATGGAAAATGAAGGCTGCAGAATTGTTAAGTGCCAGATTTACAAAGAACATTACATAAAAAACTTGAAAGGATTGCCCCTATTAGCTCTTTTGTACTGAGGAGGATATAACAAGTTACAATTTGGCTAGGGCAATGGTGCAGGTGTCTCATCCAATCTTGGAGAAATAACAGCATCAGCAAGACAGCCAATTTGAGTGTATGGAAATAATCACTTCCATTTCAGAAGAGCAAGTCAGCCATCTCTAACCAACTGAAACAGGATTTCAACTCACACATATTGCCACCTTCAACACCAGCTAGATTTCTGCCACTCCCCATTCCCTGGGGATAGAAGTGCAATCCCCTCCCCCAGAACATGTCTACATCATTTCAAGTCTTATTACTTTCCCAGTACTTTGAAATAACAGATTTTGTCCTAGACAGATCATTGATGACAATTTATGTTGTGATAACACTTCAAGAAAAACTTTCAGTATCTTATCAAAGTTCCACCAGCATTCCAATAGGAAAAGATGCTGCTACAGTGTGTTGCCAGCAAGTATGAAGTCCAAGGCTGTGAGGTGCAACCAAGAAGACTACATGAAGGAAACAAAGTTAAGGTGTAGGCCTCTCAGCTATAGCTGCTCCCAATATCAGTCACGTGATTGAAGAGCCATGGATTCCACATGGCTTAAAAGCTAGCCCTATTTCAACATGTCAGTTATTGCTGAGGCAGTGGGAGTTTCACACTGGGCCACTGTTATTGTCAAGGATGTTAAAGGCCTAAATAGTGAGACTTTCAGCTCCTTGATCTGAACTGGAAAGGCATATACCCAAAGTCAATAGTTGTTTCCTTTCACTGGGGCCCCAGCAGTTAAAACCCTAAAACCAACCATTATTGAGACTGTGGAATTTGTTCTGAAGAAGAGAACAGAGTGTGCATATGGCAATTTTCCCATTTAGAAGTCTGTCTAACAGTAGGACAGGAAACAGGAGATACAGTATTTGTCCAGATGCTTTGTACTATAGCTGATTGTTAAGATACTCTAATCATCTGTGTCATTGCTTCTTCATTTGCTTGGGTTGGATCCTGTACAGAAAGGGGGAAACACAGGTTTGTAACTTGCAGTCTTCTTCAGATCATCTGTTTTAAATACAATCTACAAGATCCTGTACTTTAAGGTAAATGCACAACTATTAAGTAAAAGTAATTTCTATTTATAGACAGGCAGGTATCTTTTTCTCTTTTCAGTCAAACTTTGTGAAGTAGTAAACGAATACTCGATTTATGCACTAAGAAAACTCTAAATATGTGTTCAGGGGTTTTGAAGGGCTCGTGTTCTGCTTCCAGCATAAAAGATAGCTAGCCATACTCATAATGGTTCAGAGAGCTGATGGAGAAACTGACTTCCAAGGTGGTATTATAGTTCACAGTAATTGCCACTTTTTGCTTGTAATGTGAAAGATATAACTAAAAACAGTAACCTGGAAGCAGTTTCCTCCCCCAGCAGATTTAATGCTGTAGCATTGAACCAGATAAGGAAGAAAAGGCACTACAAGGAAAAAGTACCAGCTACAGTGAGGATTTTGTGCAACAGTACTAGCTTTGGAATTGGCCTTCTTAGTTATGTCGCCAAAATTAAGGCATTTCCTCCCCAGGGAGATTCAATGGTCCCCCCTCTATCACTACCTTCTGCCAGTGGGTGAAGACATTACAGTTTTCTTTGGCATTCCCCCAGTGCATCTCCTTCCTGTTTATCTGTTTTGTCGAATTGTTTTTATTGTTTTATATGCATGTATTTTAAAACTGGTTTGAATGTTTTGACTGTTCACCACTTTAGGGATGCTAAGCTGGGTGGAAGTGTAAAGATGTTTTAAATATGCATCATTATACCAGTTTGGTGTAGTGGTTAAGTGCACGGACTCTAATCTGGGAGAACCAGGTTTGATTCCCCACTCCTCCACTTGCACTTGCTGGATGACCTTGGGCGAGCCATAGTTCTGGCACAGCTGTCCTTGAAAAGAGCAGCTTTTCAGCCGCACCGACCCCACAGGGTGTCTGTTGTGGGGAAGGGGAGGGAAAGGAGTCTGTAAGGCTCTCTGAGACTCCCTTGGGTAGTGAAGGGTGGGGTATAAATCCAATCTCTTCCTCCTCTTCTTCATCAGTCATTCTAACTAGCTAAAACTGAATCCAGACTAGATGCAAGTGATCAATAAGGTCCTTGGCATAGACTGCTGTTGTAGAGAGCTTATGTGTATTACTGAATTCCATACTTTTGTTAGATCAGGTAAGAGTAGTGACAAAGAACACATTCAGTGTAATTTGGTACAGAAATTATCTGTCCTCCTGAGTTCCACAGACCTGGCCATGTTGATGTTTCTGTAACCTTGAGGCTAGACTACTACCAACACAGTCTAGGGTATGTTGCCTTTGAAGACTAAATAAAAGCAATTGGTAGAGAATGCACTGTCTTGGCTGTTGGATAGAGTGTGCATATTATTATAATTATATATCATTAAAACAACTACATTGGCTACCAATATGCTTCTGGTACAATTTAACACACTGATTTTGACTTTTAAAGCCCCACATAATCCAGGGCCAATTTATCAGATCAACTATTTTTCCCACTGAGCGCCTAGCTAGCACCCAAGATCCCCTTCAAGGTTGTTTTTTTAGCCAAGCCCTCCCTTTGGACTGTCAGCTGGTGGTAACTTCGGCATTACAAAATGCTCTCCCTGAGGTGCAGAAGGCCCCCGTTCTATCCACTTTCCACAAAAACTGTAAGGCTTGTCTTTTTAGGCATTTGACAGCTAACCTATAAGAATGGTATTATTTTGAGTGCAAGTTGCATTGAAGATTAGAAGAGATTGGATTTATACCCTGCCCTTCACTTGGAGTCTCAGAGCAGCTTAAAAACACCTTTCCCTTCCCCTCCCCACAACAGACACCCTGTGACGTAGGTGGAGCTGAGAGAGCTCTTTCCAGAGCTACCATTGAGAGAACAGCACTTTATGGGAAACATTATGGAGAATTGTGGAAGAATGCCATCACTGTACCATTTCCTGAAACAAAGCTTCCTCTCTACTTGGTTACAAGTAACTTTTCATAAATGAGTCAGACCCCTCTCAAAACCTCAACATTACTTGGGGATGATCACAAGTGTTTCATAAGAAAGTGCACAAACCTAGCAAAGTGCTGGAAAGATGACAACTAGCCAGAAGTAAATTTGAAGCGTATGACTATAACATCTCCTAAACAAACAAACAAACAAACAAAAGTTTTGCTTACCTGCATATGAGGGCTATCCTTTTCTTTTGGTGAGAAAAAACGTCCACCTTCTCCCCTCTTCCTTGCCATGGCATGACGATGACGGGACTCATGCAGGTATTTCTGCAAACAGGACCATACAATTGAAAGAATGAAAGTGATCCTCTAAGCCTTGCATTTTAATATAGATCACCCATTTTATCATGTGTCACAAGCCAAGTAGGGGCAAACAATTGTCCCACATGAGGAGCAACAGAAGAGCAGGTCTGGAGGCCAGGATAGGGGGCTTGCCAGGAAGAGTGAAAGAGAAATAGTGTATGGAAGGAGACAGAAAAGAAAATGAGGTACTCCCACAAGTCCTTAAAATCATAGAGTTGGAAGGGACCTCCAGGGTCACCTTAGTCCAAGCCCTTGCACAATGCAGGAAATTCACAAATATCTCCCTCCCCCCACGCCCAGTGACCCCTGTTCCATGCCCAGAAGATGACCAAAAAACCCCACAAACCTCCAGGATCCCTAGCCAAACTGGCTTGGAGAAAATTTGCTTCCTGACCCCCAAAGTGGCGATCAGCATTTCTCTGGGCTTGTAAGAGAGCCACAAGAACTAAACATTGATGCAACCCTTCCTGCCCTTCCTCTCATGATCTGCCTAAATTCACAGAATCAGCATTGCTGTCAGATTGCCATCTAGCCTCTGTTTAAAAACCCACCACCTCTCAAGGAACCTGTTCCACTGAGGAACTACTCTGTCAGGAAGTTCTTCCTAATGTTTAGCTGAAAACTCTTTTAATTCCAACCCATTGGTTCTGGTCTGACCTTCTGGGGCAACAGAAAACAACTCCTCACCATCCCCTATATGACAGCCCTTCAATCAAGTACTTGAAGATGGTTATCATATCATCTCTCAGTCATCTCCTATCCAGGCTAAACAAACCCAGCTCCTTCAATCTTTCTTCATAGGACTTGGTCTCCAGACCTCTCACCATCTTCATTGTCCTCCTCTGGACACATTGCAGCTTGTCTATATCCTTCTTGAATTGTGGTGCCCAAAATGGAACACAATACTCTAGGTGAGGTCTAGCCAGAGCAGAGTAAAGCAATACCACCACTTTGCATGATCTGGACCCTATACTTCTGTTGAGCCCAAAACTGCATTTGCCTTTTTAGCTATGGCATCATACTGCTGACTCATGTTCAGTGTATGATCTACTAAGACCCCTAGATCCCTTTCACACATACTACTGCTGAGATGAGTCTCCCCCATCCTATAATTATACATTTGATTTTTCTTACCTAAATGCAGAACTTTACATTTATCCCCACTGAAATTCATTTTATTTGTTCTAGCCCAGTTTTCCAGCCTGTCAAGATCATTCTGTATCCTGAGTCTGTCTTCTACTGTATTTGTTACCCCGCCCAACTTAGTATCATCTGCAAATTTAATAAGCATTCCTTCTTTTCCTTCATCCAAATCATTTCTAAAGCTGTTGAACAAAACAGGCCAGATCCTTGAGGCACTCCACTTGTCACTCCTCTTCAAGAGAATGAGGAACCATTAACAAGCACCCCTGGGTGTGATTTGTCAACCAGTTGCAGATCCACCTAACGGTAATAGGATCCAAACCACATTTTACCACCTTGTCAACAAGATTATTATGTGGAACCTTATCAAAAGCCTTGCAGGTTTCCCAATGTGCAACTGAGCTGGCCCAGCAGCTGGACCCTGGACAAATGGGCCACAGTTTTCCTGGGGAGAGGCTGCCAGGGGGAGGGAAGGAAAGAAAGCTGAACAGAGAGGGGCAGATCAAGGTAGATTGGTGTGTGGGAAGGATAGAAGCAAGCAGGAAAAGGTGAGAGGCTATATGGGCTTATAGGAAAGGGAAAGAAGAAACAGTGAGGGAGGGGAAAATAAGATGACCCTTGCAAGTCTTTGCAGGTGTGAAGCTTTTGGTTTCACCTCTAGCCATCTAGCCTACATAGTCAGTTCCCAATGGAAGGGGTGAAGGAGGCAAAGGCAATGATTAGAAGGACAGCTCTGCTATCTAGAGCTCCCTAAGTAGTTATTTGGATGGCCATGGTACTCCAAGCAGCCACTTGTATTGCTTGTGCAGAGAACTAGCCCTGCACAAGTTTTCTTTACCCAGATCGACCATTCCATCTCTATTTGCTTCAAGAAAAAAACGTAACATTTTAGGAGAGGGAACCTTCCAGTTCCCAGATCCTAAGTTCCAGAAGTGACGCTTACATGGACAAACTGTTCAGCTGACACCCTCAGATGGCTTCCCTCTGTTGCACCACCATCATCCATTTTGTCGGATGAGGAGATGGGAGAGACTAAAGCTGAGGTACACAGAGGCTTACTCTTTCCTGATACTAGCAAAATAGAGACAGTTTCAGAGAGGAGCCGTGTTGGTCTGCAGTAGAACAGCTAGATTCAAGTTCAGTAGCATCTTAGAGACCAACAAGATTTTTTTTGGGGGGGTGGTATGAGCTTTCAAGAGTCAAGCTCCCTTTGTCAGATGGGGAGAGGCATGCTACAAGACGTGACAGGAAAGGGGGTGTGAGATTTTAAGCAGACATTTTAAGAAGAGATGTATTGACAGAGCTGGGAACAGGGGGACTGGAAAGGAACAGGAAGAAATTAAACCAAAAGAATTAATATCCTGGTTCTTCCTTTATGCAAACCCCAGGAACCAACTTTCCAGGGGCTGGAAAGGACTGGAAGGGAGGAGAGCAAGGCTAATTATCTGCATCCCTGCATCCATCCAGCTTCCATGCCTCAACCAGATGTTCCTTAAAAAGATAAAACTACTTTGGGGATACTTTTTCTAAGCATTTCAAATGGCTAGAAATTACTGGACTCCAGATAACTCTTATTTAAGGTTCCTCTCCCCATCATACTAAGAAGCCCTAAGTAACAGGATGATACTAGGAACTATCATACTAAAATGATTTATAGGCTCTGACCACTGGGCCCTTTAACCTCTCATAACATAGCCATTAGAAGGATTAAAACAAAAACTGGAAACTATTTGTAAATGTTTGCCAAATTTGAGTCAGCATTTATTAAAAATGGGTAAGCAAAACTTGAAATATTATTCTGAATGGCCCCTCACTAGTGCCTCATATGGAGATAGATGAAGATGGGTAGCCATGTTAGTCTGTCTGTAGTAGTAGAAGAGAATAAGAGTCCAGTAGCACCTTAAAGACTAACAAAACTTGTGGTAGGGTATGAGCTTTTGTGAGTCACTGCTCCCTTACTCTTTTTGACTAGTCCCTTATATGGCAGCTTTAATATTTCCAGTCCTTGCTGGAAATGCCATATGCTCTGTATTTGCCACTATATTTGCTTTCTTTATCACACTGGTAGGTCACAGACACCCTGTAATTATCAGCCTTTATAGTTCCAGCGGATGAGTTAACTATTATAAACAGGCGGTTGTGAGGACATATGTACATCTTATTCTGTTTTTCAAGTATATTAGATTGTAACCTCACCCTTCTCTCTTTAGGGATTTTTCCTTCTGCTTCCAGTTTGGCTCTTGCTTGCCGCCTCTTTAGAATCCGGTGGTACTGTTTAGCATTCACATACAGGGGCTCCTCTTCAAGCATCTCTGCTCCAGGCAAAGGTATCCTCTGGATAGCTGGCACAGATCCAGTCCCTGGCACCATCTGTATCAAGGCAAGGAAACAGTGTTCTATTACAGGAAAGCATTTAAGCTACAAAGAGCAGTTTTAAACATATATGGCTCCTAGAAATCCAACCTCTGTGTCTACTGAATAACAGTCTTGCAGTTAAGAGTTTCTTCAACCTCTACAATAAAAACTTGGCAGAAAACCACACAGTCGCAGCATTTAACATACCAGATTTGATGCAATTCTATTGGGAACCCACACATGGTCCCAACTCAACCTCACCCCAGCTGCCCAAACTGAGGACAGCTGGGACCCAGATTCACCCACACACGGAAGGGCTGGGAGAGGGAGGTGGCTGGGACCCAGGCAGATTGCGCTGACACAGCCAAGAATAAGGCAGGGAGCCAACCATCGGTGGGGAAGGGTGTGGCCAGAAGCAGTGTTCCCTCTCAGCTGAGTTAGTGTGAGCTAGCTCGCAGTTTTTTATCCTCTGGCTCACACATTTTTGTCTTAGCTCAGGAAGGACGGCTCCAGAGCAAACTATCACTTGCTCACAACTTTAATGCCAGTAGCTCACAAGACTCCACAGCTTAGAGGGAGCATTGGTCAGAAGGCAAGGCCGAAGATGGCCAGAATGGGAGAGGCAGAAAGAGGAAGGAGCAGGGCAGGGAGATGGGCATCAGTAGAAAGAAGCAGGAAAGGCTTCCTTTTCCTTGTATAGTCTCTCTGATGTAAGGAGACTGGAGACAAGCCAGGTCGGAGTGTGTCCAGGGAATCCAAAGAGGGAAGGCACCACACCTGGCCAGGGAGGAAGCAACAGACTGAGCCCAGACCAGGGGGAGAAGAGAGCATGGAGAGCCAAGTCTGGGGAAGGAAAAGGACCTGGGTGTTGGAACTTCCTCTCCTTCCCAATTCTGAGGCTGGTGGGCCAGTTGGTGGCAGGATGGCAGACAGCAGGGAGACTGTCTCCGTGGTGGGAAAACCTCACAAATTCCAAATACAAATTGCAACGAACAAGACAGAAAAGCCTTCTTATGGCTTCAATCCATTGTCAGGAAAAGCCTGTTTATAAATAATATAAATAAATACATTTCCTAAACACATGCATTGTTACTTAAGAGCAAACTAGGACTTCTCTCAGAAGACTGAACAAGTAATGATTTATTCTGTAAATAAAACCTGGGATGGGAAACAAGAAAAATTTGGTACGCACCATCACCATTCCACCCGAATTGACCACATTTCCGGCAACAGGCAGCGTCACAGTTACTGTCCCTTGTCCACTGCTGGTGGTATTGGTGTTGGCTCCAGTCTGAACTATCTGGGCTCCAGCCAAGCTGGCTGCTGGGATGGTGATCATGCCTGTAACAGGGACTGTAACTTTAACAAACAAAAACAAAACAAAAAACGTACACAGAAGATGAAGGGAACACAGTTAGTCCCACTTCAGATTTTATTCACTCTGCCCAGAAACATAGGTAAAGGTTCCCTTGCTTGAAAGCCAGTCGAATCCGACTCTAGGGTTGCGGTGCTCATCTCCGTTTCAAAGCCGAAGAGCCAGCGCTGTCCGAAGACATTTCCATGGTCATGTGGCTGGCATGACTAAACATCAAGGCGCACGGAACGCTGTTACCTTCCCACCGAAGCGGTACCTATTTATCTACTTGCAATTTCTTGCTTTCGAACTGCTAGGTTGGCAGGAGCTGGAACTAGAGACGGGAGCTCACTCCGTCATGCGGCAACTCGGGTCTCGAACTGCTGACCTACTGACCTTCCACAGCCTGCAGTTCAGCATCTTAACCACTTGAGCCACCGCAGGGATAAAAGATTTTTTGAAAGCTATGGATTCACAACTATCTTGTGAAAACCCAGTGTCTTTCAAAGGAGCTCAATTAGTCCTCTTATGGATTGATATGAATTAGGGATGGACCTCACATTAGCAAAACAGCACATGCTATGCATGTGGAAGGCCTAAGGTTTAATCACTGGCATCTCTGATTAATAAGACCACAAGAAATCGATGCTGGGAAAACAGACCTTTCTCTTCATGAAGCTTTGGAGAGAACTGTAAGGCTGGATAATATTTAGTTAGATGTACCAATGATTTGGCTTCATTTTTTAAATAATAACTGGGCAGGAATAAAAGGCAGTTTGCTGCCTAACTTATTCATATATGATTTGGGGTCAGGGATAACTAGTAAGGCAACTAATTTTTGGACAACACAAAATTATTCAGAATGGTAAAAAGTTAACCCAAGCAGACTGTGAAAATGCCCTAAAGGATCTCTTCGTAGTTGGTGAAATGGCAGATGAGAATCAGTATACATATGTGCAAAGTGGTACATGCTGGGGAAAACAATCCTAATGTCTTATTTACATCAGTGGGATCTGAATTAGTGGTAATCAATTAAGGTCATGGTAAATAGCTCAGAGAAAATGGCAATTAGCTGTGCAGTAGCGGTGAAAAAGGCAAAATCCATCATTTTAGAGATTTCTAGGAAAGGACTTGAAAAGAAAATTGCTAGTATCACCATGCCCTATTATATACATCAGGGGTGTCAACATATGCCTCGCAGGCCAGAACCAGCCCGCCCAGGGCTTTAATCTGGCTCAAGGCTCTCTTATCTTCCCCCTCCCCGCCTCTGCCTGTCCTCGCCCTTCCGTGCTGCCTCTGAGTGCAGAGGGCGGGGCTGCCAAACTTCCCTTGTCTTCGTTGGCTTCTCCTGTGCCCACATGGGACTGCTAGTTATTTGCTGAGGTTTGCTGGCTGAGGGGAAGGGGGCTTGGTTTCAAACATTGTGCTTCCCAATGGAGGCTTTTCTCTTGCGTTGATTGAGCTAAGGAGCCAGGTGGGTCTATCCTTGACACTTCCAGTTAAAAGGACCAAGCTGTGGCTTATTATGACTTCAACCTGAGACCCTGGAGAGCCACTGCCACTCTGAGCTGACCTGGGGGAAGAGAGCTTGCAATGCCCAGCCATTTCATGTTTTTCCCTGGGTCCTAGGCTCAGAGTATTGACCATGAGAGCAAGCTGGGGAAATGGTTTGCTCCCCACTCCAGGCAGTACGGGGGCATCAGCCCAGTGCTGCACTGCATCTTTAGTTGTGTCTGTCTGTGTCCTTTTATCTCTGCTACCTGGTATTACACTTTATGACAAACATGGCCTGGCCTGAAAAAATCCCATTTATGTAAGATCTGGCCCTTATAACAAATGAGTTTGACACCCCTGATATACATCTAAAATGTAACTACACACATTGGAGTGACCAGAACTTGGGTGACCCCATTTCAATAGGTATCTTCAAGGCAGAAACCTGCAAGAAAGGGCAACTTAAAATGATCACAGAATAGGAGAACCTTCCCTAGGATGACAGTATTCACAGCTTTTCAATTAAGAAAAATGTGACGGAGCAAAGGATATGAATCATGAGAAGAACGTAGAGAACAGTGCTGCCTCAGTCCCAACCCAAAACGGTAGTCCCAGAAGTATACTATGATCAATGGAATTAACAGACAAGAACCTAAATAGTCCATCTCCCAAAGCAGGCTGTCCATCAGGACAACCAAGTTGTTTCAGTCCCGTAACCAGGCCTGAAACTACACTGGAAATGATTTGAACGATCTGCTTCATCTTGGAATCCTTGAAGTTGCCCCCCACCACTTTTTCATTCACCTTGCTCAAGAACAGCACATGTGAGATCGGACAAATTATTCAAATCTCCTGGATCCAAAGTAAATGTCTTCAGGATGCACCACTACCTGTTTCAAGCCTGGGGTAACCCTCTCTCAAGGAGGCATTTCTCCCAGATCCAGTCAGCTCCACCCTCTGCCCCTGGCAGATTTAAGCAACCAGAAGGGGCAAGGGTCACAAAAGCAATCTTATACTTGCTATGCTGCCCTTTTTCCAATCTCCATTGGATAATATATTGCAACTGTGTGTTTTTGAAGCTACAAGCTCCTACAGAAATTCATTCACCTGTCTCATTACAGCCTGTGAAAAAGATTTTGTTGTTATACAAATAAGAATTTATAAAGGGGTGAACAATGGATTACTGATAAGTGACATGAATATATCCCATGTAATTTGGCTTTTTCAGAAAACCTAGAACTCTCAGTTTCAGAAAGAGAAAGGCTGTGGTATTTCAGGAAAGTGGCACTTACAAGAAGCCTCATAAATGCCACCATGGCATAAACACAACACCGCTTATGTGTCCACAGAGTCTTCCAATGGCATACTAATTTCACTATCAACATAAAATCACTGCACTAAAGAGCTACAAAAATAGTCACATGAATTTATGAGTTTTAATTACCTTGGTACCTAGAGGCAAAAAGCAAATGGTACATATTGTTTTGAAAATGGTCAATACTATTTTGACATTCTATGGCATGAAGAATTCCTACCTTGTTGAAGAATTGTTCCATCAGCATTAACTGGCTGATAGACAATTGTCTGGCCCTCAGCAGTCTGCGCCACCTGCTGACCTTGAACAGCAATTTGCGGCTGGGTCTGACGAGCACAATAACATCCCATCAGAAAAAAACACTAAGTAATACAAGATTACAATATCTTGCAATTTTCTAATGTTCTGGGAATAACTTTTAAAAGTGCCCACATTTCTTGATTATGTATGCTCAGACCAGCACTATGGAGCATTTCATTTTACTTCAGTCCCTCACTGGCCCAAATATAATTTCTGTGTTTTCTAGAGAAACATTTTCATCTTTCAGAAATGGGGGTTCCAGCATCTTAATTTGTTGTTTCCTTAAAAATTATAACTTTGCATACTTGCACCCATACATAGCTCATACGTAAGGTGCTTTGGTGAGCAGAAAGGTAACAGGGGAGGAGTAGGTGTAGGAACCTTAGACAAAATCATGAAGAAGCTAAAATTAACAGGTAGGTGTTCACGATAACTGAGTGTACAGGGGCAATAAACTGGCAAGACTATGTCAAGTAGCAGCTGGTGATAGTTTGCTGTCCCTGGCTATGATAATTCTGAATTTGTATAGCTTGTCCATTCTTTATCTGATAGAGTTAGTTTTGGGGTAACATACATTATCTTATACATATATCCCTTCAAGTGGAGAATAACATATGCAGTGTGATAGTGCCACCTCCTCACATGATTATTGGTAGAAGATCACACAGCACTAGCAATCTGGACACATTTCTAAACAGACTTCTATAAATTGCAAGTACCTGACCATTAAAAAAAAATCTGAACCTAAATTTCAGCAAACTCAAAGAAATTATAATGGGGGATTCTGGAACAGTCCATGCTTATATCGGATAAGATAGCCTCGAAGAAATTACTGCTTGATGAAATACCAGCAGTCACTAGAGTGACAGCTAGGTTCTGTGCCCAGGTGATTAAACAGAATAGTTTAAACAGGAGCTTTGCTTTCTGATTTTCAGGAGCCAATATATTAATGACCATATGTATATAATTTTATTAATATATATTATTGTTGGATTAGTTCAATTATAAACTGGATGTACATTTTATAGCAGATTTGTATTGTATCCTATTATATTGTATCCTATTTTTAATCCGGTCTATGACTGTTCTAATAATAAAAATAATAATGGGGGGGGGGACAGAATTAGGACTGTTATGTTAAATAATATTATTCTTTCTCACTAGGAAGGTTATAGTACAGGTTAATATGGTAAGGTATACAAATCGATTAGATACACTGAACATTCTCCCCAATATACATATGAACCAATTAAATAAGTTAATTATTTTCCCCAGATTTCAAAAATCTATGTAAATCCAATTGCTTTTACAAATTTTCTCCTGCTTTTCACACTCTTACCTGTGTCTGGCCAGCAGTAACTGCAGTTTGAGGCTGCTGGATGATGATTTGCTGTGTCTGGCCCTGCTGGCCTTGAACTTGCACAGCTTGCCCACCCTGAATCTGAATCTGACCAGGCTGGACCAACTGAATCTGTTGGGGGGGAATAAATCAAGTACCTTGTAAAACCTCTGTACCTAATATTAGCATTATCTAAATTATTCTCAGATAATTCAGATGCCAAGGTCAAGACAATGCCTAAGGAAAGCCATAACCAACACCATTTAATTTCTAAGTGAACAGAACAGAAGACTGGAACTTGCCATAAAAGTTCCTTCTACCTGGAACTTTGAAGACATCGATTTTTTGGTGCCTGGCGTACTTTCCAGTATTCTTAGAGGAAGGAAATTGATTGCAGACTGCTTTCTCTGCCTATAGGAAGTGCCCACCAAATCCCTCAGTTTGGAGACTTCTGCAGCCATGTTTTGAACCATCAGAAAAGACTACCATCAGGAAATGGCTACCTTTACAACAAGAACAACCTTGTTGACAGAGCCTACAGGCTTCCACAGCGTAACTAACATATTATAAGTCTGCCAACGAGAACACAGAGGGGAAAAAACAGCAGAATAGGGATCACAACTGAGAAAAGAGCAATCCATCTCCTGTTGTGTTATGCCTGCCCATAAGAATACAGGGTGGGACAAAATGATGTTCCCTGAGTCCCAGGTAAAGGAAACTTGATGAGTTCCAACATTCCATTCTCCCCTGGAACCAGAGAACACGATTTTAATGACTGGAACATTATAATGACATACAAATTAAGGATGGGGTCAATGCCAGTTACTCAATGATTATATAATTTGCTGAGGCCTATTTTGTCTAAATGCTGTATGGTTCAAGGTAATAGTATTCAATCTGTAGCGTCAAACAACTGTGGAGACTGAAGCCCAGGTTGCTGCCTTACAAATTCCAACATCAAAGCATTTACTGAAGTCAGCATTTATGGCTGAGCTCTAACAGAGTGAACAGTGAGGACCCCTGATTCATGAGGGTCATGTACTTGTAGGTTCAGTGAATGCTTATCAAGCATTTGCTGATAGTCACCTCAGGAAACTTTTTGCCCTTTGTTATGGGATGAAGAACAGGAAACAGACACGTAAAGCTCTGTGCAAATCTGGAGTATGCTAATCCTTTTCCACTGGATGAATTGGATTGGGCAGAAATGTGGTAATGTTTGTTCCTGAGTCTTTTGAAACAGTGACCGACAGTGATAAACTTAAGGACAAAGGTGGAATGTGAACAAAGGACCACCTTATCCTTGTGAAACACAAACCACCTTGGTCTAAGGCAAAGTGCTCCCAGTTCTGACATACATCTTGCTGAAGTGACAGCCACTAAGAATAAGACCTTGAGTGTGAAAGAGAAGAATGAGGTGCTGTAGCCTGATCAGCTCAAAGTCTCTTCCAATGACACCACCTGTAGAAGGGCCTTCCAGGTACATTCATTTGTTCTGGTTGTATACAGTTTCTGGGAGGCCATCACAACCACAGTGACCGCTTCTGAAACGCATTTATTTAACAATTGCCAAGCAACTAGGTGGAGCCATGCTGAATCTGAATGGTGAATTGGGCCCCGTGTTAGGAGATCTGCAGAGACTGGGACCTTCCAGGGCGGTGTTATGGACAATTCCATCAGGCTGGAAAACTATGGCTTCCTGGGCCAGAGTGGAGTGATGCATATCAATCTGTTCTTCTCCCGCTTGAGTTTATTTATCAAACCCAGAATAGTGGGGAAATACTATTTCCCCATACAGTATACAGTAGGCATACAGTAGACCCTCAGGCCAGGTGTCTTGACACCATCGGTCGGTTCTGCTCCTGGGCACAGAGCAAAGAATTAGCTAAGCTGTGTGTTCTGAGGAGATACAAGCAGGTCTGCCTGAGGGGTCCTAAAGCATTTGCAGATCATCTGGAAAACCCAAGGACCCAGCTTATACTCCGCTAGTCCAACTGTTGCCTGATGAGCCAGTTCACCATTGTGAATGCCACTGATGTGCTCTGCCCTCAGAGGCAGAACATATTGAACAGGCAAACAGGATCTCCACTTCCTTTTGCAGCAAGCACAATTGGGTACCTCACTGCCTACTGATGCAGGCCTTGCCAGTGGTGGTATCCATGGAGATTCTGGAGTCAGTCCTGAAAGTGAAGAACCAACCTCATCACCCTCAACCCCAGAAGATTTCTGCTTAGCGTTGACTCTGAGTAGGATCAAATATCCTGCTCCTGGCCCAGAGTGCAGTGTGCCTCCCAATCATGGAGACTTCCATTTGTGCTGATGATGATCTCTTCCTTGACTAATTTTTCCACTGAAAAATGATACTCCTTGAATCACCATTGAGATCTCTGGTCAGTTTCAATCTGACATGCCTCTTTATGGAGATCAGGTTTTGAAAGCAGAGTCCATGGAAGCTGACTGGAATGTTCCCTGACCCAGGGCACATGGAATCCACTGCCTGCCCATTTTTGGACATAAAGATTAATTTCCACATTTCTTGTGGAAAAATTTGTAAGGTGTCTCCCAAAAGCATAAACATCTGAGTGGCAATAAGATTTTCTTCCCAACATAGATCAAGAACTTGTGTTCTGAGGCATTGCAAAGTATCCTGGATATCCTGAACTTCCTTGCTCTTACGACAAGGTTCTGATCAAAGATCATCTAAGTAGAGATAAAGATGGATTCCCTGAATTCTCAGGTTTGCCATCCCTGCTATTGATTTTGTGAAGATGCAGGGTGCCAGGCCCAAACCAAGTGGTAGGGCCTTGAACTGATAATGACCATTGCCATGAGTGAAACGTAGATCCTGCCTGCGGGCAAAGAGGATAGACACTCATAAGCAGGCCTCACTCCAAGAGGACAGATACCCGTAAGCAGGCCTCGGTCAAATCTACTGACACCAGGAAGTCTTGAGACTGAGTGCCTGTGTAATATTCTTCAGGGTTTCCATCTTGAATCTCCTGTATTCGACATATCTGTTGATGCACTTGTGGTCTAAGATTGCTCTTCTTTTTGCGGATCGTGAAGTAAACCCCTCTGTATTTGTGAAGCAGTGGCACTGGCTTTACTATCACCTGTACTGAGAGATTTTGTATGGCATCTAGAGTTCAAGATCACTTGTCAAAATAATGGGAAACTAGGGCTGAAAAAAAGTTGTTTGGTGTAAGAAAAATAAACTTGAAGGCTATTGTATCTTTCACCCAATGATCAGAAGAGGACTGAGCTCAGATGTGATAGAAAAACTGTAGGCAGCCCCCAACTGGATTGTCCCTTGCATCACACATTGCGCTGCTGGGCCTTGTTTGAACTGAAGAATTGATCAAAGATTGAGATCCCCGCCTGTAAGACTTCTTGTTCCTATACCAGGAATATTTGAAATTGCCTCTAAATCTCTCTCTGAATTAAAAAAGACTGAAAACAAGAACTTTTAGAATGTTCATCATTGTGCTTGGCTGAGTCATAGTAGATATCGTTTTATTTTTGGTCTCAACCAGGTTATCTTAAAGTGGCTTTGATATATCCACTCAAGGCCATAAGCCATATATGTCTACAGGCCACCACAGCCAAGGTAATTTGCCTGTGAATAAAACTTCATGGCATCTAAGCTTAATTCTCCTAGGAAGGCTGCTGCCTGTTCCAGTCTATTCAAATAATCTGATTGTCCAGCATTTAAGTTTGCAGAAAAACTACTGAGATTTCTCACCCGATTCAGAGAAGCACTGTCAACTAGAGAGTTGGCTGCCGCAGCTTTGATATCAAAGGCAGTTGCTTCCTGTGTCCTCCCGAGAGTGAGTTCCATCTTATGGTCTGTAGGATCCTTCATGGATCCTTTCTCATCTTTAGTGACTGCTGCACCTGAAATGAGAGCTGCCATAGGGGCATCAATTAGAGGGCTTTGAAGAATCTTGTTTGCTTTTCTGGATAAAAGATACATTCTTCTAGCTGCCCAGAGCACAGTCAGTGAGATGTAGGATTAGATCACTCTTCATTAATTTCCTCTTCAAAGGAAACTGGAAACGTAAAAGTGTACTCTATTATTGAATCCAGGCAACCTTTTTGTATCATCTAAGAACCCTTCATCCAGGTGCTTTGAGGAATTTTTTTCCTGTGGCATCTTAAGGCTCAAAGGTTTCATGGCTCTTATTAGAAGCAGCGGAAGATTATCCTAGCTAAAGAGGCATCTGTTTTGCTCGTCCTGGGGGGAGGGGAGATCTTTCTTGGACAACTTATCTAAATCCTGACTAGAATCCTCAGAATTCTCTTTGGGAGGGCTGCATTCTAATCTACAACAGTACTGAAAAAAGGATCTGGGTGTCTGAAAGCCTTTGCAGGCTGCTTCAGTGGGCCAAAAGCCTATGGAAGCTGCAAGTGATTTTTGTGAATCTGGCAGAGGGGATGATTGCCTTTCCCTCCCCCTGGTTTCTTGGTTCCCTTTTGCCATGGACTTGTCTACACAGTTTTCAAGGCAGTACTTAATTTCAGAGGGAATGTCTTCTTTGGAGCAGAAAAGGGAAAGATTAGGGTGGAATGTCCCCTTTTGACTCACCCCTGTCATTTGCATCAAAGACTTCATTCGCTGTGTCCCCTGATGCAGCTGTTTGGACACTGGTGCTGTTCTGGCACCAAAATCGGCCTTGGCGCCATTTTCTAAGCTGCCTGAATGTGTGCCGTGGCTTCACATGACAGCTAGAGCCTCCACTGGCTTGGTCTGGCTGGCTGCAGTGGGTAAGACATGCTTTCCTTGTGACTTCAGTAGAACAGCTTTCACAGCCCAATCCGACAACACCGCACCCTTCGAGGCCATCCTGACAGAGTTTGCAGCCGACGTGGCCTTGGCTAGACAGGCACTAGACATACCATTACCAGTGATAAAAAGGTAATTTTTTTATTTTTCTGAAGGGGAGGAGGAAAGTCAGAATGAAATGTAGGCTAGAAAAAAGAAGGGTGGTTGCAATCAGAGGCTCTAAAATGAATTTTTGCTCTGAGTTTCCTTCTCACTATTAAGGCATGAAACAAAACTGAGGGACTTGGAGAGCACTTGCCACAAGGCAGAGACAGAAGCCTCCAGTCAAATTCCTGCCTCTCTAGGAATACTGGAAGTAGCCCAAGCATCAAGTCATGTCCTCCAGTTCCAGAGGAGAAAAGTCTGTTGAGGTAGGCTTGACCTGGATAGCCCAGGCTAGCCTGATCTCGTCAAATCCCAAAAGTAAGCAGGGTCGGCCGTGGTAGGAATTCGAAGGATGACCTCTAAGGAATATCAGGGCTATGACAAAGAGGCAGGCAACGGCAAATCACCTCTGAATAGTCTCTTGCCTAAAAAACAACTCTAGCTCACCACCTTGTGGTGCATAACACTAAAGCGCCAGAACTTACGGATACCAGACAATCTTAGGATCGTCTGGCTATACTACACACAATGTCATAAAATAATTATTAGTAGTTGTATCCTTCACTTTCCACTTTCATTCTAAGGCCATTACGCTATTATCCAATGCTATGCCATACTTATGTAAGAAGCATTTTATCACACCATATGTATTTGTCTTATGGAATTCTCCAACAACACACAGATGTCTCTTAAAATGGACTACAAAAATTTATCAGCCATTGGTCTATCAACAATTATTAGCAAAAACAGTTAAGAATAGAATTTCTGCATTCAACAGCACCATATTCCTGGAACATCAGGTGCTGGAAACAAACATCAGCCACTTTGCCATGCTGACTTATCTGTCAATCTGTACTTAATGGAGTTGGGCATACAGACCTGTTGCAATCCCTGTGATCCTGAAACTGGAACTTGCATAATGGTCTGACCTTGACTCCCCGGTACAGCCTGTACCATGATTGGCTGACCAGTTGATGTGATCAGCTGACCTCCACTCACTTGTACCATCAATGGCTGACCCTGCACCTAAAGAACAGGAAGGAAAAATCCCCACAATGAAATAGAAATGCAATAAGCTGTCATCAGGTACTGATGACACTGACCGACATTATATGGGCAAGTCAAAATGCAACAATAATGAAAATCATGCATCATGCTGAACTCAAGAGACATATTTGCTTCTGAGAACTTCCTGCTTCTCCCTACCATCTACCAAAAACGCCAGATATAAGAAACTGGTCTCTAGCTGGATAAAATATGGAGCAAAAAAGTATATAAAACTAGAGTCCTAAAACTCTAAACTTAATTCACAATTCACGTAGCTTAGTAAGTCATTAAACTATACACAGCCTCTTAAGAGTAGCATGTTAATGACGAACAAATCAAGGACTTTTAACTGCCATCTTACAACATCCCTCCTTGTACCCCTTTTTGACTGAGGAACCTGGGCAACCGGAAGCAGAAGAGAAAGAGGTATATAAGCTGGAACAGGCATGCTATATGCTTGGAGCCATGATCTGCATATCTGTACAGAATTCACAGTTTGCAACATGATTTGTATCAAGACACTGATGGTAGATGAGCCACAGTTAACTAGTTGAAGCTTCCAGGCAGTTCATGTAACAGTTACATTATAGGTAATTCTAGATCCCTAAAATACTGAGTTCTAAACACATGGTGATTTCATTAGTCTTTCAGATACTGAGAGCTGCATAAATACCTCTTCCCTTTTTTCTTTCCAAGTGTAGTTAGCCTCCGTAACGGCTACATATTTTAAAAATAAAGCTTAGATATTCAAAATTATAACAAGAGACAGGTGGGAGCATGCATATGTACTGCTCACTCATGCATGCCAGTTGTGCAAAAAAAGCCATGGTCCACTGCCCTGACACAAGCATTGTTCTCATTAACAGAGGGAATTTGCTTTATGCATGGCAAGGTAGATCACATTTAGAAAATGCATGAGAAATTCAAAGCAGGAGAACAGAGTTTTAAAATGATGAAATATGAAAAGACAGTTGTCAAAATCTACTCCTACAACAGCTAGCTCGTCCTTTCTTATAGTCTGAAAGCAGCAGTAGACATTAAGGTTTTCCATGGTGCTTAGAACATAAAGAGAGCTGAAGAGGAGCTCAGTGTTAAATCTGGACTTAGCCAACATAATACAAACAAGTCTTTTTTGGCATTAGCTCACTGGATATTAATTCATTACGTTCAGAACTATTGACCTTTACTTAAGAATCAGATGCCAACTGAGCAAACACCCCCCACCAGCAAAATAAACCATCATAAAGAAGAAGAGTTGTTTTTTATACCCCACCCTTCTCTACCCGAAGGAGTCTCAAAGCGGCTTACAATCTCCTTCCCTTCCTATCCCCACAACAGACACCCTGTGAGGTAGTTAAAGGGGGCTGAGACAGCTCTGAGAGAACTGTGACTGACCCAAGGTCACCCAGCTGGCTTCATGTGGAGGAGTGGGGAATCAAACCCAGTTCTCTGGATTAGAGTCCACACTCTTAACCACTACACCACACTGGCTCTCAAGCCCTTGGTAAGCGGAAGAGATGAAGGTTAACAATATAAATCATAACATTCACCACTGAAAAAATAAAATATACCTCAAACAACCCTGGCACAGCTTACAAAATGAGATGATGTTCACAATGACAATCATTTCACAAGAACACAAATCAGGGTTTGAAATATCCCTTCCCAATGGATTGCAATTCTTTTTTAAAATCAAATTAGCATTTCTCTGACTAATCTAAACTTCATTTGTAAGATTTTTAAACGTCCTTGGCTTCTTCAATTAAAATCTGATTGGGATGGGGGAACCAAGCATGTACTACATGTCATTGTTTAGGATTTCCTTCACGAAAAGAGGATTACTGTATTTATTTATTTATTTGATTTATACCCCGCCCTCCCCACCAAGGTGGGCTCAGGGCAGCTTACATAAAATACATATATAAAAATACAGTTAAAACATACATAAACAATCAATTATTCATTTTCCTAAAGTGCCGGATGAATTAAAGTGCAAGAGCAAAATTCCTAATTTAGACCATACCACTACTTCAGTGTTAGTCCTGATGTCATTATTACAACGGCTCAGTTTGATCGACTAATTTATGTGGCGAGCCAGGCTGCAGGTGGTAGAGCCAGGGCACAGGGTCACTCCTTGGTGTTTAAGGCAGCTCCTAATCGAAGGCCTGGTGGAAGAGCTCCGTCTTACGGGCCCTGCGGAACTGTGAAAGGTCCTGCAAGGCCCTGATCTCCTCCAGGAGCTCATTCCACCAGTATGGAGCTGCCACCAAGAAGGCCCTAGCCCTGGTTATCGCCAGCCTGACATCCTTGGGGCCTGGGAGGGCTAGCCAGTTTGGGGCCCGTGAACGCAGTGCTCTCTGAGGAAATATGGGGAAAGGCAGTCCCTCAGGTATGCCGGACCCTGACCCTAAAGGGCTTTAAAGGTCAAAACCAGCACCTTGAAGCAAATCCGGTATGCTATTGGCAGCCAGTGCAATGCTTTCAGCACAGGCTGGATGTGCTCCCGCATAGAGAGGCTCCAGCTGCAGCTTCTGGATTTGGGACAAGGGCAGCCCCATGTAGAGAGCATTACAGTAGTCTAATCTCAAGGTGACCATTGCGTGGATCACTGTTGCCAATTCGTTGCATTTGAGGAAGGGAACCAACTGCCTGATCAGTCAGAGATCGTAAAAGGCTGACTTGGCAGTGGCTGCTACCTGGGCCTCCATTGTTAAAGAGGCATCCATGAGCACTCCCAGACTTCTAACCTCCGGTGCTGGCACCAGCTGCACCCCATTGAAGGTCAGGAGTAGGATCCCTACCCTTGGGCTACCCAGGCACAGGACCTCCGTCTTCATCGGATTCAGTTTCATTTGACTCAGTCTAAGCCAACTAGCCATGGCTTGTAACGTCTGGTCCAGATCTTCCGGTGTAGAGCCAGACTGGCCACCCAATAGCAAATAGAGCTGGGTGACATCCGCATATTGGTGACACCCCAGCCCATGCCTCTGGGCAACCTGAGCAAGGGGGTGCATGTAGATGTTGAAAAACATCAGGGAAAGTACCGCCGCTTGAGGCACACCACAGGTCAGTGGGTGCCTTCTGGACAGTTGTTCCCCTAGCGCCACCCTTTGTCCCCGACCCTGAAGGAAAGATGCAAGCCATTGCAAGGCAAGCCCCTGAACTCCAGAGTTGGCAAGGCGATGGATCAGGTCCAACAGCACTGCCAATCCGCCTTGATCCAGATGTCTCCTGAGGTCATCTGTGAGGGCGACCAGTGCTGTCTCCGTCCCGTGTCCCGGGCGAAAACCGGACTGGAAGGGGTCCAGAGTGGAAGTGTCATCCAAAAAGCTCTGTAACTGGTCTGCCACAGCCCTCACGATTAACTTGCACAAATAGGGCAATTTGGAAACCAGCTGGTAATTAGCTAATTCGGCCGGATCCAAAGATGGTTTTTTCAAGAGGGGACGGACCACGGCCTCCTTGAGTGTCCTAGGGAACTGACCCTCCAGGAGGGATTTGTTGATAATCTCCCCTAGGGCACCTTGAAAACCGATAAACCTGTTTAGGTGCCTAAAAGAATGATATTATGTATGTAAAACATTTTAGTAGTTACAATGAGTATAAGCTTCTTGCTCGTTTTATGTTAGTATGTCTTGTGAACTGTGCTGTCTGTCTTCTTTTTTCTTTGTAGAAAATTAATAAAAATCGAATTAAAAAAAAGAAAACCCAGCACGACCAGCTTTCACTAGCCACGATGGGCATGGATCAAGGAGACATGTGGTGGGGCGTATAGGAGCAATTTGTCAACTTCCTCTAGACTGAGTGGACTGAAATGATCCATAACCTGACTCGAAGATGTGCATGGAGCCTTGAGTTCGCTCACTGTCTCAACTGTGATGGGGAGGGTCACAGCGGCGCAACAAGACTTTGCCTGCGAAGCAGCTCACAAAGGCCTCACAATCAATATCCATTTCCCTAACATTTGACCTGCCTTGTGGCAGGGTCGTCATGGACCGAATTGTTCTAAACAACTAGGCTGGGCGTGAGCTCGCAGATGCAACCAGAGCTGTATAAGTGTTCTTTCTTCACAGCTTTGACTACCATCTTGTAGGATCTCATAAACGTCCTATAAGATATTCTTGTAGCTTCATCACGAGTGCACCGCCAAAGTCTCTCTAGCCATCTTAGCCTTTGCTTCATCAGCCGCAACTCCTCAGCGTACCAAGGTGCAAGCTTAGAGTGAGGGCACAGAGGGCGTCGGGAAGCGATCTCGTCGATGGCTGCAGAAAGTCGGCTATGCCAATCCTCTACGAATTCATCTAACAAGTCACCAGGGGGCACTGGATCCCTTAGACCCATCTGAAGCCGCACAGGGTCCATTTGCAGGCGAGCTAAAATACGCTCGCCACCCAAACAGGGTCGGGGTGAAACATTCAAATGGGCTCTCGGGGCAAGGTGCCTGGGCAGTGATCCGGTCTACCGTTACCCCCGCCGCAAAGATCAGATCGAGCGTGTGACCAGCCTGGTGGATAGGAGAAGTTACATACTGGGAGAGTCCCAGTGCCACCATGGATGACACCAGGTCCACTGCTTGATTGGAGGTTGCGTCATCAGCATGGACATTGAAATTCCCCAAGACTATCAGTGTAGGGTGTTCCAATGCCCAGCCCAACATGGCCTCCATCAGGGACGGCAGGCTACTGGCCAGTGCATTGGACAGTCGGTACACCAGCCAAATCACCAAACTCTCCCCAGCTTCCCACACTAGACTGGCACACTCTATGCCCACGATCTTAGATGGCGGGAGCGCTCTGAAGGAGTAAGCCTCCCGAATTAATAGAGCCACTCCTCTCCCCTGCCCCTTAGTCCAAGATTGGTGGAGGACCGAGAACCCGGGGGGAGCCAACTGAAAGAGAGCTACTGTCTCTCCTTTTTGCACCCAGGTCTCTATCGTGCAATCCAGGTCTACTTTCTGCTCAAGCAGGAAGTCCCGAAGGACCGTGGTCTTATTATTTATAGACCTGATGTTACACAACACCAACGTCGGAGGGTGGTCATTCATCCTAGCCCCACTGCCAGCAACCCTTGAGATGGGACGTAGGCTGGAAGGGGGCCGAGCCACTCCACTTCTCCATGTCCCCCTCCCTTGTCTCTATGCCTCATTCCACCACTATACTTTGCCCTCCCGAGGAGCACTGGAATGTTGTCTCTCATTCCTTGGTTCCTATTCAAAATAAGGATCTTCCTATTTACAACAACAGAAATTTCATGGAACAGCATGCAGTACATGGAACACTGCATGCAGATCAGCTCCAACCATTCTGTTAATTGTACTGTTATCCATCTACAGTTAGCATAAGCCAAAGCAGTTACAAAGCATTTAAAATACCACTAGTCCTTTTTTCCTATTTCAAGCCCTGGTGCAAACACAGCATCAGACACGAGGTGATGGGGTGATTCATGCAGTGCACATATACATACAACAGATAGATCACCACTACCTGGAGGGTCTGGACTTGCTGGCCTGAGGCAGATGCCACCTGAGCCTCAGTCTGCAACTGGACAGCAGTGACACCACCCTGCTGCTGGGAACAGGAACAGGAAGAGCTTGAAACTTTTGAGGAAAAGCTCAAAACAAGAAACATCCTTACCACTGGCAAAAGAATGGGCCTAGCTTGGCCATTCTTGATGTGAAGACCACTAGTGCTTGACTTGAGCTATAATTACAGACTAAAGAGAAAACAGCAGATACTACTGATGCCTCCTTACTAAAATCTGGAAACTTAACTTTTGCAGCTTCTATTAAAATCACAAACAAATAGCCAATTAGAGGCCAATGAATTTTAAAGAACAAATCTGAAAAGCCTCTAATAGGATGGTACCTAAATCAGTAGTCTTTTAACAATGTGCTGTTAGGACTTCCCCCAGAAACAAAAAGAGGTAGAATAAGACAAGAAAGGGAAATAAAGTAACACCTATCAGCTCATAACAACTCACTCAAATCTGTATTATTAATATCTATACTGCTACACCGAGTCTCACTGAATGGACCATTTTACTCGTATCTGAGTAGACAACACTTTCTTCCCTAGTTCAGCAAACAAGATCTAAGAGAGTCTCTGTATTACTACACAAGAAGAAACACAGCAGTCTACGCTAAAAGTGTGATTGATAATCATGCCTCATCTGCACCACAACTGCCTGCTCCAAAAACTGAGTTATATAGAAAATAAAAGAATTGATCAAATGGTGTTAAGGTTACCTATCTGCACAGGTGAACTAATCAATCCTTCTACTTTCTAGGCATTCCGGGATTTCTTTCTTCAAACTATCCCATATCCTCATTAAAATAATATATTAGCTTACACAGTACTGAAGAAGACTAAAACCACTTTAGTAAGAACAGGTGGGACAGAAGCCTTATAGAAAAAACAAATCTGACAGCCTAAATGTTTTGCAATTGTGTATTATGGCACATGCTCTGACTATTAAGACAGACAGGGGATTTCTAACATATTTAGGAAAAAGTAAGCTCTAGATAATATCACAACCAGTTAAGCAACATATATTCTCATTGGCTTCTGAAACGGAAGAGAATAACCAGAGTCTTCAGTTCACCCTCACAAATAACTTCACGCACCTGTTGCTGAATCTGTCCAGCTTGTACAACTATCTGTTCCGTCGAGCCACTGCTGTTTGCCGTGTACTGCTCCATATTTTTTTCACTGCCAATCGTCTATACAACGTGCTTCAACTGCAATCCTAGAAAGAAAGAAAAAGATTATTCCTAAAATTGATCAAAAAATTTAAGAAAAGTGAAAACAGACAATTCTTCTATTTAGGCTACCTTAACAACAAAGTTATCCAGCCTTCCAGTTATCTTATTATAAAAAGAATGTTGAATAAGCTTTATATAGAATACATCTTCAAAATCTTTTGCAGCATTCAATATTGATGTTGCCAGAACTGTAGAAATGTATTGTGAAAATACAACCTATAATAAAAATATAGGAATAAATCCTATTCACAAACTCCCCTCATCACTCACTCCATTTTGGGGATTCATATATTGTCAATGTACAACAGAATATTCAGCACACTTTGCAAAAAAAAAAAATCTGTAAATTACCATATCACCAAGAATAATCTAATATTTTCAGCACAGATAAATCACCCCCAAAAGATGATTCAACAGAGATCACAGTGGAAGGTGGTAAGCGGGGGGGGTGGGTACCACAGGGCTTGTTCAGGGCTTTTTAACTTGCTCGTTAATGATTTGGAGTTGGGAGTAAGCAGGGAAGTGGCTAAGTATGTGGATGACACTAAATTGTTCAGGGCAGTGAGAACCAGGGAGGACTGTGAGGCACTCCAGAGGGATCCGTGGCAGCTGGGCAAGTGGGTGTTAAAGTGGTTAATGAGGTTCAACGTGGGCAAGTGCAAGTAATGCACATTGGAGCCAAAAAATCCTAACTATAAATATACATTGATAGGGTCCAAACTGGTGGTAACTGATCAGGAGAGAGATCTTGGAGTCATGGTAGATAACTCACTGAAGATGTCGACTCAGTGTGCGACTGCAATAAAAAAGGCAAATGCTATGCTGGGGATGATTAGGAAGGGGACTGAAAACAAATCAACCAGTATCATAATACCCCTGCATAAATCTATAGTGTGGCCTCACTTGGAATACTGTGTACAGTTCTGGTCACCACACCTCTAGAAAGATATTATAGCATTGGAAAAGGTGCAGAAAAGGGGAACTACAATAATTAAGGGGATGGAACATCTTCCCCTATGAAGAAAGGTTAAAGAGGTTAGGGCTCTTTAACTTTGTGAAAAACGAATATGGGTTAAATGACAGAGATTTACAAAATTATGCATGGGACGAAGAAGGTAAGGAAGTACTTTTCTCCCTTTCTCACAATACAAAAATTCGTGGGCACTCAATGAAATTAATGAGCAATAGGCTTAGAACAGATAAAAGGAAGTACTTTTTCACCCAAAGAGTAATTAACAGGTGGAATTCACTGCCGCAAAAAGTGGCAGCAGCTACAAGCACAGACAGCTTCAAGAGGGGATTGGATAAACATATGGAGCAGAGGTCCATCACTGGCTATCAGCTACAAAGCTGTAGATGGAACACTATGTCTGGGGCAGTGATGCTCTGTATTCTTGGTGCCTGGGTGGCAACAAGGGAGGGGGGCTTCTGGAGTTCTGGTCCAGCTGGTAGACCTCCTGATGGCACCTGGGTTTTGGCCACTGTGTGACACAGAGTGTTGGGCTGGATGGACCATTGGCCTGATCCAACATGGCTTCTGTTATGTTCTTATCTTGCAGTTAGATTCCTCATGAAAATGAAACACTGAAGAATAACTATATATCTAGTTAAAATTTGAAGGCCACCACACAAAACCAATCAATACAAGACAACACATACAAGTACACCACACTATAGTCAATTAAACAATTCTATTTATGAGAGGAATTAGCAAATATCCCCAAGGCTTGTTTTATATTGCCTGCTAGTTGCTAATGTGAGTTCTTTCTCCTTACCACAAACTGAGACATCAGCTAGGAGCGGTGAACTCTAATCTGGAGAACCGGATTCTATTCCCCATTCCTCCACTTGAAGCCAGCTGTGTGACCTTGGGTCAATCACAGTTCTCTCAGCCCAACCCCCCCCTCCTAGCTTACTAGAGTTTCAGGCTGCCAGACAGTCTTTGGATCTCCTGGCTATACTACATCCACTACCATACAATAATGATTAACTATTACTTGACTAATCTGAGAAGGCAGTACACCCAAAGCAGAGCCTCAAAGGATGACTATAATGGTTGGGTGGGTTCATGAGTAGGAAGTCCTTCAGGTATGTTGGTCCCAGACTATATAAGGCTTTAAAGGTCAACACCAGTACCTTGAATTGTGCCTAGAAACAAACTGGAAGCCCTATGACCCGCTCCAGTCAACAGCCGGGCTGCAGTGTTCTCCACCAACTGAAGTTTCTCAATGCTTATTGAGGGCAGCCCTATCTACAGTACATTACATCAAGTTCAGACTACTGTAACCAAGGGATACACCACAGCGGCCACATCTTTTCTACCCTGAAAAGGCCGCAGTGAGCTGACCAGTCGAAGATAGTAAAAGGCACTCCAAAAGCACCCCCAGACGACAGACCTGTTCGTTCAAGGGGAATGCAACCCTACCTTGAACAGCTAACACCTTAAACCCCAGGTCAGCTCTTCTGCTCACCAGCCACACTTCTGCCTCGCTGGGATTAAAAACTTCTGTTTATTGGCCCGCATTCACTCTAAAACTGCCTCCAGGTATCGGTTCAGAGTTTCTACAACTTCCCCAGAAACAGCTCTAAGCACAAGATCAAGCTGTGTGTCATTTGCATATTGGTGACAACCCAGCCCAAATCTCTAGAGGACCTTACCCAAAGGTTTTGTGCAGATTTAAGGAACATAGGAAATAAGATGGAACTGTAGGTCATCCACCAGGGCGATTAAGGCTGTTTTGTCCCACAATCAGGCCTAAAATGAAATTGGGAAGGATCTAAACAATTTGTCTCATCCAGGAAAGCGTGAAGTCACTTCTGGTTACAAGACAAGCCACTTTATGCTACATATAATGTAACATAATGTAAATGTACACTGCATTTACATGTTTCCATGACAGCAAATAGCATGTATTTTCTTTAACTGTACAAAGTGTCATTCCTATGTTACAGAACGCACTGCTGGCACAATTTGGTAACATGCAAATGAACCCAAAGAGGGACATAGTCTTACACTGAACTAGTCAATCAACAGTTAAGAGGAACATTGTTTTCTGAGACAGGCTTAAAATGATTACTGCATGCAAAAAAGAATACTGTCTAACATGATGAATTAAGGGGAGAAGCTGTCTTCGTATCTTGAGAGGGAGAGTTGCCCAGGAAAGGCCCTACAGACGGCCATTTCCTGTTTCCCAGAGCTATATCTCTTGCAGTGAGAACATCAGACTCTCACACTCCCTTAAAGACTAAAGGATTTATTGCAACATAAGCCTTCCCAAGCCCGATTCCAATCTGCCAGATACAGGTTATTTTCAATATTTGTTATCATGAAGAAACACTTTAGAAAGACCGCATTAAAAAGATAAGAATTTGGCGGAGAAACATACAGGACTCACTAAGGGCACTGAACTCCACAGTATTCAGTTACTAACCACGGTTTCTACACTGAAAGGTAGTTCGAGCATAACTGACCTCGCTGGGCAGTAGTAGCTACAGACAAGGCAACGAACCCCAAACTGGGCACAAACGCCTCAGTTTGGAAGAGGCCGACCACTCCTCCCTTCCCGAGAAGCCATCCCCATGAGGGAACTTTTCAAGAGGGAGCGGCCTGTAGGTCTCCCTTATTTTCCCCCTCGGCAGCTTCGCTCTCTTCCACTCAGCGGGGTCTACAGAGGGCATCTCTCACACTCCCTGGAAGCTTCTCAGAGCGGACAAAGGGCCACCGTACTTGCCACTGCTCACCCCTCCCCCCCCCCGAGTAACCCCACGCGCTAGCCAGCCACCCCATCTCCACGCAAAGTCCGGGCGCTCAACGGGCCACAGCCACTAGCTGCCCCAGCGCTCGCCCAGCCCTAGCCCCGCGCGCGGCCTTCTGACTGGCCACTCGGCCCCGCCAATCCCGGCTCTTGGGCCGGCGCTCGGGGGCTCCATATTGGCTGCTCGCACTCACCGTGCCTTGCTCCCCCGGTTCGGGTCCCGCTCTGATTGGCTCCGCCACCGGTCCCCGAAACCCAATCAGCGCCTCTACTCAGCCGCCGCGCAAAATGGCGCCCAACCCCCGACGCCCAACAAAGAGAAGACGAGGATGCCACGGCGCAGGCGCTGTACAGGAGCTCCGCCCGCCGAAGCTTGCGCTTGTTTGAAACGCTACACGCATGCGCTTGGGATCTTAGAACTCCCGTGCGTACTAGGCAATCCTTTACTATCCTTTCACCCCTTTTCACAAGAGATAGTTTCTCTACGCATGTGCAGTCGAGGATAATTTTTTTAATCCTTTTTTTCTATGGTAATTCATAGCCCTCGCATATCTCCCGCGAATACTCGGGCTTATACCATAGAGTTTTATGCCTAGAAAATCATATGCGGCGGCTACCATTTTGTTGTTTTCTTTCGGGAGGAAATAGGACAGGTACTAAGCGTAGAAATAGGACACCTAGAGAAAGTTAAAGAGTTGAGGCTAAGCGAAAGGTTTGCCTTTGTACATTCTGGGTGGGAGGTAACGTTGCTTGTTCTCCACAGCGTCGTATTATGGACGCTAAGACTTCTCTGGGGCCATTGCTTTAAATAAGGGAAGCCCGCCTTATGTTGTGGAGTCGTCAGGTACAGCAGTCGTTACCCCAGCTTGAAAGTTAGGGTTACCAGACCTTTGTTCTTCATTCCCGAGCATTGTAGTCACAGACAAACTTATAAATACGAAGCCTTTAGTATTTAAAAAAAAGTTCAGAAAGAGAAGACAGAGCAGCCCAGAAGGAACAATGCCCTCCTTCCCGAACACCCTACTTCTCAAAGCGACGTTTTATGTTTTCGTTCGTATTTATAAATTTGGGGTGACAGCAGCTGTCTAGTTCGTCCATCCATAGACCATTCTAACGCACTCCCCTTCCGACACTCGTTATTTTTATTGCAAAGCTTTCCCAGTAATATGTATGTTCGTTTTGTATTTCCCCCCAGTTTGTTCGTCTCAAGAGAACTTGCAAGGCTTCCTCATCATCATGGCTAGTACGCGGTCTGGAAAAGAAGAGAGTGTGTGTAGTGGAGTATTTTTATATGCTGTAAAGCAGTTTTATGGGTGTTGCTTGTAGTTGTAGTTTTTGTAGAAGAAAATAGCTATATTCTAAACATTTGGTATTATGTAGTTGTGAGATAGGGGGACTTCAGTTTTGGGATTTGGTTTTGTATAATAAAGGTTTACCCAAGGCTGCAATCCTTTAAGTCTTAAGGGCTTATATTCATAATATTGGCTGAGCTAACCTTGTGGTTCTCTTTCATTTCATCCTTGAACTCTGATTTGGTTTTTTATTTTTGAGAAATCTGTACTTTGTTCCTATTCCAAAGGCCACTTAGCAGCATTGTTCTGACGGGATCTTTCAGTTTTCAGGGTAAACTTCACCTTCCACTGGCACAAGTAGTAGACTTTGTGATTGCCACCTACAGCACTGTTGTTCATGAAATGTCCACATAGTCACTGACAGTTTCCCCAGTATTGCTGGGAGTAAATGCATTTGAGATTTACATGTCACCAACCCTGGCTGATGTTTTGGACAAAAAGATCTCCTTTTCCATGCCTTGTATTCCACACCTGCTTAACTGGTTATCAGGAAGGCCTGCCACTTATTCACACAATTTTTTGGACACTGAGTTTGAACACAATGGACAGTGACCTCTGAAGTAATAAGCATTGTATCCTGCTCTTTTCCAGGGTGCTAAAAAATTCTACCTGAATGTTTTATAAAGTGATATAAATAGCAAAACCACTTAACTGGTTTACTTCAAGATACTGTGCCCAAGGCTGCAATCCTCTGTGCTACCAAAAGTAACTTCCACCGAGTAGTGTGACTTGACTTATTTCTGAGTAAATTTGTATTGAAGTTCCCTGTTAAATTACATTGACAGTGACTTCCACAATCCTATGTGTTGCTTAGAAAGCAGAGGATTGCATTCTTAAGCTGTAGCACTTTTTATGATGGTGCCCTCAATTATGTTTTCTAAGCCAAATGCTGTTTCTCTCATTATGATTTCTGTTTTGTAAACCAGATCAGGTATGTGAAGGGAGACCTTTTTACCTCTCCTGGAACAGATTCATTGGCTCACTGCATCAGTGAAGATTGCCACATGAGTGCAGGCATAGCTGCCATTTTTAAGAATAAGTTTGGTGGTGTTCAGGAACTCTTGAACCAACGTAAGTGACAAAGCACTAGAGCTGTTTCTAGAATATAAAAAATGTTGGTTATTTTTGAATCCTCATAGCCAGAATTTTTAGGTTGGTAAGGCATGGGGAAATTTTGTGGGGCAGCAGGGGAGGAGGGAGGAAGAGGGGCGGCCGCATACCTTCCCTGAACTCCAAGCAGTGATTTAACCACTTGGAGATCAGGCAGGAGCAGCCCCCGCTGGAAAAACAGCATTTAAAGGGTTCCCATTAAATTTTGTTTTTCTAGTGGGGGCTGCCTGCACCTGATCTCAAAGCAGCAAAACTGCCGCTTGGAGTTTAGGGAAGGCGTGCGGCCAGCAGCCGCCCATCTCCCTCATTTCCTGCAAGATTTAAAGGGCCCACTGATCACCTGGAGGGCCCTTTAAATCTTGGAGGAGGGGAGGGAAAGGGGTGGCTGCAAGATTTAAAAGGTCCTCCAAATGATTGGTGGGCCACGTGCTCCTGCCAATCAGCTGGAGGGCACTTTTAATGTCACAGGAGGGGAGGGGGAGAGGGGCAGCAGCTGTTGTGGAGTGTGCCTCATGTGTGAGGGGGCGGAGCCCTAAAATGCCCCACCATACCTACAGGTCTGCTGATAATTTTGGGTTAAGTACAGCCACATAGAAGTTTACTAAAATGAAGTCTTATCTGTGGTCATGATATCAAAGCCATACTTTCCTGATGAGTTATTCTGGATTGTGCCATCTTTAGGGTAGTATTAAAATACTGACATCTCTAATATTGAATTCTTGGAAGTTGTAACAATTACGGATTATTTAAGAAGCAAAGGCAAGGTTTGGGATTCTGTATGTATGTGTGTGTGCATGTGCATGAGTCAACTTTCTTCCGGTCACATTGTCCAGCTTCCACACCCATACATAATAATGGTGAATACTATGGCAAGAGTTATCTTGATCTTGGTCACCAGCAACACATCCTTACACTTAAGGAGCTTTTCTAGTTCCTTCATGGCTGCCCTTCCCAGTCTCAATCTCCTTCTGATTTCTTGGTTGCAGTCTCCCTTTTGGTTGATGATTGGTTGAAATTCTTCATTGTCAGCCTTAAAGTTGTGTAATTGCTCAGTAGTCATTACCTTTTTCTTTTTGATGTTCAGCGTTGTGTAATTCTCCAGTAGTCATTACTTTTTCTTTTTGATGTTCAGCTGTAATCCTGCTTTGGCACTTTCTGCTTTAACCTTCATGAGTAGTCATTTCAAGTCTTCCCTGTTTTCTGCTGGTAATATGTTATCTGCATAACTCAAATTGTTAATGTTCCTTCCACCAATTTTCACTCCACCTTTATCTAAATGTAATCCAACTTTCCTTATGATACATTCTGCATATAGATTGAAGAGGTAGGGAGATAAAATACATCCTTATCTGGACACCTTTGCCAATTGGAAACCATTCTGTCTCTCCAGTTTGGTGTAGTGGTTAAGTGTATGGACTCTAATCTGGGAGAACTGTGTTTGATTCCTCACTCCTCCACTTGCAGCTGCTGGATAACCTTGGGCAAGCCATCGTTCTGTCAGAGCTGTTTTTGAAAGAGCAGTTCTTGAAGGAGCAAGATACCATGTGTGTGATGCGTGGAGAGCACTGCATCCTAATGAGACGGATTATACGTATTACTCCTCCCGCCACAAGATATACACTAGGATAGACTATATACTAACCTCCCAAACATTATTGTCCCAGGTTAAATAAATCGAAATAAAGACAAGACACTTAACAGATCACGCTTGGATCGAAGGAAGAATAGATCTCTCACAGAAAAAGACACCAAAGTCCAATTGGTCAATGGACAGAAACATTTTATTAAATGCAAACGCCAAGGAGACACTAGAAAAAGACATAGAAAATTTCTTTGCGGACAACGCTTCGGATGAAATCCCCCCAGGTTTATTATGGGACACAATGAAGGCGGTAATGTGTGGCTCGATGATTGCGATTACATCTAGAATGAAAATGGAGAAGAATCAATTAAAAAAGGAGGTGCTGGACAAGATTTCTTACTTAGAAGGGAAACATAAATTGACAGGAAGCAACAAGATATACCAAAAACTCTTAGCAGAACGCAAGGCACTGGATAACCTAGAAATTACTCAAATCCAGAAAAATTTAATATACTTGAGACAGAAGGTTTGGCAACGCTCACCTAAAAATCTAAAAATACTGGCTTGGAGGGTGAAGGAGAAGCGTAAATCAACCTTTATCGGAGCATTAAAGAACAAAACCGGTACCCTTGAGTACTCGGCCCAGGGAATAGCAAATATCTTTGCAGAATACTACACTACACTCTATGGCAGTAGAAATCCACAGGAAGGGATGATTGAGAAATACTTACAATCAGTTCTGTCATTTCCATCTATAAGCCAAGAACACAAAGAGCAAAAGGATTCGCCAATAAATCCCCAGGAGATGTCAGATACAATCAAACAACTCAAGACTAACAAAGCTACAGGACCAGACGGGATACCGTCGGAATTTTATAAAACATACAGTGAAGACTTAATGAAGCACCTGGTGAACACATGTAATGATATCCTGCT